CGTCAAAGTCAATGGCCCGACCCTCAGCGTCAAAAGCGAGGACACTGGGGGTAGCCATGACAGCAGTAGACTGGCAGCACTAGCAGTAGGGTAAGAGCAGCGCAGTAGTAGAGGTGCTGTTCTTACCGGGCAGGCGAGACGGACCGAGGGTAGAGGACAGGGCGACTCGGACGGCTCGGCAGCTCGTCGGCTCGGCAGCACCAGCAGCTCGGCAGCTCAGCGACTCGGCGGCTCGGGTGGCTCGGCGGCTCGGGCGGTTCGGCTGCTCGGCGGCTCGGGCGGCTCGGCGGCTCGGGCGGCTCGGCGGCTCGGGCGGTTCGGCGGCTCGGGCGGATCGGCTGCTGCAGGGGCAGCGGCGGCTGCTGCTCACAGGACGGCGGCGGCCGCTGCTGCAGCGGCGGCGGCAGTTGCTGCTGCAGGGGCGGCGGCGGCCGCTCCTGCAGGGTCGGCGGCGGCCGCGATTGCAGTGGCGGCGGGTGCTGCTGCTGGGGCGGCGGATGCTGCTGCTGCTGGGACGGCGACCGCGGCCGCTGTAGCGACTGCAGCTGCTGCTGCTGTAGAGGCGGCGACGGCGGGCCGAGAGAGGCCGCAAAGGGCGGCGGACGGGCCGTGAAGGGCAGCACGAGGGGCCGCGGAGGGCGGCGACCGGCCGTGAAGGGGGGGGGGGCCGCGAGTGGCCGCGGAGGGCGGCGACGGGCCGTGAAGGGCGGCGCGAGGGGCCGCGGAGGGCGGCGACCGGCCGTGAAGGGGCCGCGGGTGGCCGCGGAGGGCGGCGACGGGCCGTGAAGGGCGGCTCGAGGGGCCGCGAAGGGCGGCGACGGGCCGTAGGGGGCCGTAAGGGCGGCGCGAGGGGCCGGAAGGGCGGCGCGAGGGGCCGTAAGGGCGGCACGAGAGGCCGTAAGGGCGGCTGGAAGGGCCGTCAGAGGAGCCGCTAAGGGCGACGCGAAGGGGCCGTAAGGGGCCTAGAGAGGGCGCGACGGTAGGGAGGGCACGCGGGGCGCGACTCGGGCAGGAGCGAAGCGCGCTCCGGGCAGGAAAAAAAAAAAATCGATTGGTGGGCCCTAGGAAGCGTTCCCACGAGGGAACCCGCTCTATACTATGTGAAAATGTCGAGGAAATGGGATTGACTAAGGGAAAGTTGGGTACAAGTACAAACCCTAGAAAACTGTACCCCATATGTGCTACCCCACTACAGCCTAAAGCAGCTATGTCATATAAATCTGACACCTTTGCATTTGTGGGCAGGCACGGCCGTCGTCGCGGGCGCCGAACTTTTCTGTGCGCGCGAACCAAGCTGAAAATGCTCTGGTAGGTGTATTTGAACATGGGCCACCCGAATATGCAACAATATCCGGGTCGTTGGATGCTTTTTCCTACGCCTATAGGGATCCGTGCGCTTCCTTAGCATTTGTGGGTAGGCACGGCCGTCGTCGCGGGCACCGAACTTTTCTGTGCGCGCGAACCAAGCTGAAGTTGCTCTGGTAGGTGTATTTGTACATGGGCCACCCGAATATGCAACAATATCCGTTTGTTGGATGCTTTTCCCTACGCCTATAGGGATCCGTGCGCTTCCTTAGCATTTGTGTGCAGGCACGGCCGTCGTCGCGGGCGCCGAACTTTTTTGTGCGCGCGAACCAAGCTGAAGTTGCTCTGGTAGGTGTATGTGGACATGGGCCACCCGAATATGCAACAATATCCGGGTTGTTGGATGCTTTTTCCTACGCCTACAGGGATCCGTGCGCTTCCTTAGCATTTGTGTGCAGGCACGGCCGTCGTCGCGGGCGCCGAACATTTCTGTGCGCGCGAACCAAGCTGAAGTTGCTCTGGTAGGTGTATTTGAACATGGGCCACCCGAATATGCAACAATCTTTGGGTCGTTGGATGCTTTTCCCTACGCCTATAGGGATCCGTGCGCTTCCTTAGCATTTGTGGGCAGGCACGGCCGTCGTCGCGGGCGCCGAACTTTTCTGTGCGCGCGAAGCAAGCTGAAGTTGCTCTGGTAGGTGTATGTGAATATGGGCCACCCGAATATGCAACAATATCCGGGTCGTTGGATGCTTTTCCCTACGCCTATAGGGATCCGCGCGCTTCCTTAGCATTTGTGTGCAGGCACGGCCGTCGTCGCGGGCGCCGAACTTTTCTGTGCGCGCGATCCAAGCTGGAGTTGCTCTGGTACGTGTATCTGAATATGGGCCACCCGAATATGCAACAATCTTTGGGTCGTTGGATGCTTTTCCCTACGCCTACAGGGATCCGTGCGCTTCCTTAGCATTTGTGCGCAGGCACGCCAGTCGTCGCGGGCGCCGAACTTTTCTGTGCGCGCGAACCAAGCTGAAGTTGCTCTGGTAGGTGTATTTGAACATGGGCCACCCGAATATGCTACAATATCCGGGTCGTTGGATGCTTTTTCCTACGCCTATAGGGATCCGTGCGCTTCCTTAGCATTTGTGTGCAGGCAAGGCCGTCGTCGCGGGCGCCGAACATTTCTGTGCGCGCGAACCAAGCTGAAGTTGCTCTGGTAGGTGTATTTGAACATGGGCCACCCAAATATGCAACAATATCCGGGTCGTTGGATGCTTTTCCCTACGCCTATAGGGATCCGTGCGCTTCCTTAGCATTTGTGGGCAGGCACGGCCGTCGTCGCGGGCGCCGAACTTTTCTGTGCGCGCGAAGCAAGCTGAAGTTGCTCTGGTAGGTGTATGTGAACATGGGCCACCCGAATATGCAACAATATCCGGGTCATTGGATGCTTTTCCCTACGCCTATAGGGATCCGCGCGCTTCCTTAGCATTTGTGTGCAGGCACGGCCGTCGTCGCGGGCGCCGAACTTTTCTGTGCGCGCGATCCAAGCTGGAGTTGCTCTGGTAGGTGTATCTCAACATGGGCCACCCGAATATGCAACAATCCTTGGGTCGTTGGATGCTTTTCCCTACGCCTATAGGGATCCGCGCGCTTCCTTAGCATTTGTGCGCAGGCACGGCCGTCGTCGCGGGCGCCGAACCTTTCTGTGCGCGCGAACCAAGCTGGAGTTGCTCTGGTAGGAGTATCTCAACATGGGTCACCCGAATATGCAACAATATTCGGGTCGTTGGATGCTTTTCCCTACGCCTATAGGGATCCGTGCGCTTCCTTAGCATTTGTGCGCAGGCACGCCCGTCGTCGCGGGCGCCGAACTTTTCTGTGCGCGCGAACCAAGCTGAAGTTGCTCTGGTAGGTGTATTTGTACATGGGCCACCCGAATATGCAACAATATCCGTTCGTTGGATGCTTTTCCCTACGCCTATAGGGATCCGTGCGCTTCCTTAGCATTTGTGTGCAGGCACGGCCGTCGTCGCGGGCGTCGAACGCGGGGCAGTATGCGCACCTATAATGGGCGTACCCGCCAGAGTTCGGGCGCTCAAATCTTGCGAACGACATGGAACGAAATGGAGCCACTTGTTGTGGGTGTGTAAAATGGTCTAATCTAGAGGACTAGCAAAAAAAAAGGGGCATCCAACGCAGTGGACCAGTCAAAGTGATGCGTTGGGCAGTCGGGGCAGTATGCGCACCTATAATGGGCGTACCCCGCAGAGTTCGGGCGCTCAAATCTTGCGAACGACATGGAACGAAATGGAGCCCCTTGTTGTGGGTGTGTAAACTGGTCTAATTTAGAGGACTAGCAAAAAAGAGGGGGCATAGAGATTGATATGCAAGGTTTGGGGGATTACAACGAGTAGAATAGAGTGCAAAAATCCCCGCCTTATTTGCAATTTTCTATACCGGAGCGGATTCGATCCCGTTTTCGCGAAAATATGGCTAGAAATGCCCTGGATGGGCTTACTGTGGGGGGTGGGGTAGGCGAGCCTGTGCGTGTCTGAAGCCGGCGTCATTTGTGAGTTCACGGACCTGCAATCATGCTGGAAAGTGCTTGGGAGTGATGGGAGAACGATTGGTCATGGACCCCCACGACGGAAAATCGGCTGCTCCATGATCTGTACCAGTGCTGCTGTTTTCACGTCTCGGGGCTACAAACGTCCGAAACGAGCGTTTCTCTTCAATGTAAAGTCGTCATTTGTGCGTTCACAGACCTGCAAAAATGCTGGAAATTGCCTGGGAGTGAAACAAGAACGATTGGTCACGGACCCCCACGACGGAAAATCGCATACTCCGTGATCTGTACCGGTGCGGCTGTTTTCGCATGTCAGGGCTACAAACGCCCGAAACGAGCGTTTCTCTGCAATGTAAATATGTCATTTGTGTACAGCCTGCTCCAAGCATCTGAAGTCGAGTCTGCTTGGTGCTCGGTTCCTGAACCTGCATCAGCGAATTTCGGCCAACCCACGGCATAAATTTCGTTTGGGCCAATTTTGAGCTACCCTTACTGGTTCGGCGATTTTCCTGCTGCCACACTTCTAAATTATGCCCAAAAGGTAGCAAAAGTGAGCGATAATGCATGCCCTAAAAGAATTACACAATCAGACATGCTAACAGTTCTGATTTAATTTAGCCTGCCTTTTTTTTCTAAATAGCATCTGTCACAAGAGCTGAGTAAGCTCACTTGATTTGACATCTAAAACAGTTAGTCCCCTTACACCGCTTTGAACCGTGAATGAGTTCATTTGAACCTGAAACGGAATTGCATACCTCCTCGCCCCAAGCAAACCACCCTGCTCGTTGGCGAATGCGCCGTGTTGAAAAGCAGCTCGGTACAAGTGAAATTCGGTTACAGAACGTGCCCGAGCTGCACAGACGCTTTGCTCTCCACCTTTCCACTCCATCAGTCGGCGCTCCCCCGGCTTCCCTTTCGAGTACCGACCATCCGCGGAAGAGCCTCGAGGCGCCTCACAAGCAAGCTCGGGCGGCGCATGTTGCGGCGCCGTGACGTGGCGTCGCGGCACCTCTCGTGATCGCCATGGACGCGGCGGGAGCGGCGGAGTCGGCGGCGGCGATGGCGGCGTGGCGCGGCGAGGTGGCGCGGGTGGCGCGGCAGCTGGCGGATCGAACGGCGCTGGAGCGCGCCAATGGGCTCACAGCACTCGACGCGCTGCTCGCCGGTGCGCGTGACGCCCGCTGCCCGCTCTTCCCCCGCCCGTTCGCCCTCCCCTTGCCTCACCTACCACTCCCAACTGCGCGCGCCGCACTTCCGCATTCCCCACTATTTATGCTTCCGCCACTCCCTCGCCTCCTCGTCCCCACCGCCCTCTCCCTTCATCATCCCGCTTCCTTTCCTTCCGCCCGTCTCTCTGTCCCCGTCGCGCTCCATCCTCTCCGCCTCCCGCTCTCACCGGCCCGCTCCTCTTTTCCGCCATTTCCCCATTTCCCCATTCCCCCTCTCCCCCGTTCCCCCATTCGCCCCCAGGCGTGGCGAGCGGCAGTGACGGCGCGGCAAGGCGCATGGAGGCTGTGAGCGCGCGCCTGCTCGCCATGCAGGGGCGGGGGGACGCGGGGGCGGAGGGTTGAACGGGGGAGGGGGAAGGGGCGGAGGAAGAGGCAGGGAGCGCAGGGCGTGGGGCGCAGGGGTCAGAAGAAGGGGGGGGCGGCGCAAGTGGGGGTGGCGGCAGTGGCAGCAGCGGCAGCAGCAACAGCAGCGGCAGCGGCGGTTGCGGGTGGAGTGCGCGGCATGGGGGCTTCCTGGGGGCCGAGGTATGGTGGGCTGGGCTGGGCTGGGCTGGGCTGGGCTGGGCTGGGCTGGGCTGGGCTGGGCGCTGGGGATGGGGTCGCGTGACTCGCTCGCTGTGGGGTGTGTTTGGGCGGGTGAGGGAAGAATGGAAGCTGATGGGGTGCGATGTGAGGAGCATCCCCGCTGTGCACACGCTGTGCCCCACACGCTGTGCCCCACAAGCTGTGCCCCACACGCTGTGCCCCACACGCTGTGCCCTACACGCTGTGCCCTACACAGCCCCATGGCATCACAGCAAGCTTGCCCCAACCTCCTCTCTTGCACCAACCCCCCACGCCTGGCAGGTGCTGCTGCGGCACTGGAGCAGAGTGCTGGGCGCTCAGCCGGGGCAGTGCGAGCACGCGGGCAGCGAGGAGCCGTGCGCTGCAGGGGGCGAGGAGCCGTGCGCTGCAGGGGGCGAGGAGCCGTGCGCTGCAGGGGGCGAGGAGCCGTGCGCTGCAGGGGGCGAGGAGCCGTGCGCTGCAGGGGGCGAGGAGCCGTGCGCTGCAGGGGGCGAGGAGCCGTGCGCTGCAGGGGGCGAGGAGCCGTGCGCTACAGGGGGCGAGGAGCCGTGCGCTGCAGGGGGCGAGGAGCCGTGCGCTGCAGGGGGCGAGGGCGCGGGGCAGGGGAGTGGGGGAGGCGGGGCAGAGGAGGGGGGGAAGAGGGAGGGAGGGGGGAGGGAGGGGAGCGAGGGAGGGGAAGGTGTAGCGGCGTTCTGCAGCGGAGCGGGGGAGGCTGTGCTGCGTCACATGGATGATGAGGAGCCGCGCGTCAGGTGGGGAGTGAGGGGAGCGAGTCAGGTGGGGAGGGGGGTGGAGCGAGTCAGGTGGGGAGGGGGGTGGAGCGAGTCAGGTGGGGAGGGGGGTGGAGCGAGTCAGGTGGGGAGGGGGGTGGAGCGAGTCAGGTGGGGAGCGAGGTGTGAGTGGGGACGGAGCAGAGGAGAGGCTGTGCTGAGGCACTTGGATGATGAGGAGCCTCGCGTTAGGTGGGGAGGGAAGAAGGGGAGGCGAGATGAGAATCCAAGGAGGTTGAGAGTCATGGAGTGAGGTGTGAGTGGGGACGAGTGAGCAGGTGGGGGGGTGAGAGGGGTGGTGGAGAGGAAGGTGAGGTCCATGCTTGTACCATGTGCACCATGCTTGTACCATGTGCACCATGCTTGTACCATGTGCACCATGCTTGTACCATGTGCACCATGCTTGTACCATGTGCACCATGCTTGTACCATGTGCACCATGCTTGTACCATGTGCACCATGCTTGTACCATGTGCACCATGCTTGTACCATGTGCACCATGCTTGTACCATGTGCACCATGCTTGTACCATGTGCACCATGCTTGTACCATGTGCACCATGCTTGTACCATGTGCACCGCATACATTCATGCATGCATGCTCAGCATCAGCATCAGCCCATCAGCATCAGCATCAGCATCAGCGTCAGCATCAGCATCAGCATCAGCATCAGCGCATCAGCATCAGCATCAGCGCATCAGCATCAGCATCAGCATCAGCATCAGCGCATCAGCATCAGCATCAGCATCAGCATCAGCATCCGCATCAGCATCAGCATCAGCATCAGCATCAGCATCAGCAGCAGCATCAGCATCAGCATCAGCATCAGCATCAGCATCAGCATCAGCATCAGCGCATCAGCATCAGCATCAGCATCAGCATCAGCGCATCAGCATCAGCATCAGCATCAGCATCAGCATCAGCATCAGCATCAGCATTAGCGCATCAGCATCAGCATCAGCATCAGCATCAGCATCAGCGCATCAGAATCAGCATCAGCATCAGCATCAGCATCAGCGCATCAGCATCAGCATCAGCATCAGCATCAGCATCAGCATCAGCATCAGCATCCGCATCAGCATCAGCATCAGCATCAGCATCAGCATCCGCATCAGCATCAGCATCAGCATCAGCATTAGCGCATCAGCATCAGCATCAGCATCATCAGCATCATTGCTGCACACTCACGACCACTCACTACCACTCACGACCACTCATGTCCTGTTTCTTCTCCCACACACGCCCTGCCTGCTTCTCCACCTCTTCCCCATCACCTGCTCGCTCGCCCCTCTGTGTGTGTCTGTGTGCGTGCATGTGTGTGCGCATGCCAGGCTGGCAGCAGCGGAGGCCCTCTGTGCCCTGGCACACTACGGGTCGCTGCCCGCCGCCCTTGCCCTCTTCAGGTCGCCCTTCCGCCCTTGCCTCTTGTTTTCATTCATCATACCACAACCCGCCATGCCACTCCCGCCCATCATCCCCTTGTCTCGCCCGCGTTAGGCCTCCTCGCCCCTGCTCTCATCCCTGGTTATGTGTTCGCCACCCATGCCAGGCCACACACCGCCAGCATCCCCTTTGGCCTTTTCAGCACACGTGAATCTCCCCTCGCCTCCCCCTCCCCACACCCCCTCCCATCGCCCTCCTCAGGGCCGTGAAGGCCCACATCCTGCGCACGCTGCAGCAGCAGCAGCCGCTGCCGGCGCTGCTGGAAGGGCAGGAGGAGGGCGACGGGGAGGAGGCGGGCGGGGAGGGGGAAAAGGGAAGCATGCACGCAGCCTTCGGGGCGCAGCAAGGGGAGGGGGCGCAGGAGGGCGCGGAAGGGGGAGTGGCGGGGGAAGGGGGGGAGGGGAGCGAGGGGATGGGGGATGCGCCCAGTTCCCCCCGGGCGGACCAGGCAGGGCTGGCAGCGGCCATGGGCAGGCGGGGGGGCGCGGAGGGAGTGGGGGGAGTAGGTGGGGGAGGAGGGAGGGCAAGCGCGCGGCAGACAGCGACTGAGTTGATGACGGCGGTAGGGCGGGGGGGAGGCAGGTGGGCAGGCAGGCGGGCGGGTAGGTGGGCAGGTGGGCACGTGGGTGGGAAGGCGGGGATGCACGCGTGCTTACAGGCATGCAGGCACAATAGTGGCAAGCTGTGGGGCGTACAGCTGAATCCAATCCTCTGCTGCCTCGGCCGCTGCTCCACTCCAGAGCTGCCTGTGCGCTCCACGCCTTGCCACCTGCCTGCCTCCCTGTGCCGCACACCCCACATTTCCCACTCTTCTTCACCCTCTTCCCTCCCACACCCCCTTTCTCCTCACCCTCTCGCTTCCCTCACCAGGTGTGTGGGCTCAGCGTGGATGCGGCACTGCGCTCTGCTGGAGCCACTTTTTCTCCTTTGACCTCTCACAATCCCCAACTCCTCTTCTCTCGCTTCCCCCACCAGGCGCGGGGGCGCAGTCTGGAGACGGCGCTGCGCTCGCTGCAGCGCCTGCTGGATGGGCTGGGGGAGCGGAGGGCAGGGGGGAGAGGCACGGGGAGAGGTGCAGGAGGAGAGAGGGCAGGGGGGCCAGTTGTGGTTGGCAAGGGGGGAGATGCAGGGGAAGGAGGGAGGGAGGAGGAGGGGGAGGGGGGGGCGGAGTGGGAGGAGGTGGTGGGGGAGATGAGTGGGGGTACGGTGGAGGTGGTGGGGATGGTGGTTCGGCATGGCAATCGCTTTGTGCGTGAGGCTGCCATGTTCGCCCTCGCTGCGCTGTGCCACGTCATGGGGGCCACCAGGTGCGCTGCTGCGTGTGGGCCATGGCATGCGTGTGCCCATGCTCCACTTCCTCACCCCGTTCAGCCCGCACCTGCCACACTCTTTCCTCATCCATTCGCACCGTGTTCCCTATCGGTTCCTTCCTTCTTTCAACTTTCTTCTCCCTTCTGCCCTCTGCTTTCTTCCCACCCCTGTAAATTTCCTCGCTTCTGGCCCCAATCCTTCCCTCTGCCTCCTCTGCCCCCTCTCTCTCTTCTGCCTCCTCTGCCTCTCTCCCCTTCTCTCTCATGTGCTCTGTGCAGTTTGGGGGAGACCATTGCCTCGCAGCTTGCTGTGGGGCTGGGGGACAACTGGAGCCAAGTCAGATACGGTGAGGTGCAGAGCGGTTAGATGCAGTGTGGTTAGATGCAGAGCGGTTAGATGCAGAGCGGTTAGATGCAGAGCGGTTAGATGCATTGTGGCAATTTGCAGGGCTGTGAAGTGCAGTGCGGTAACACCAGCCAGAACTCTTTCCACTCTGCTTCTGCCCCTCCACCTCCCTCCGTGCGTCCCTTGATCTCATCGCCTCATCCCCTCCTCCCCTTCTCCCCTCCTCCCCTTCCCCCACCTCGACCCAGCGGCATCGGTGGGCAACCGAGCCTTGTTCCTGGCAGCGGGGGCCGTGCATCACAAGGAGCGCTACCTGCCCACCCTGCTGCCCGCCATGTGAGCCCCCTGCTGCCCGCCATGCCACTCCACCATGGCACCATGCCACATGCCATACCACCATCACATGCCATGCCACACCACCACCACCCATAACACACCAGTCTCCACTCCCCCTGCCCCCTTCCTCCCCTCCCTCTCCCCCTGCCCCCGCCAGGGATTTCAACGGCTACTATGGGGCGGACGGACAGGGTGCGCATCTACTCGCACTGTGCTCCATTACCAATCCCCCATAGTATAACCCCCCTCCTCCCTCCCTCCCTCTCCCCACCCCCTCTCTCCACTCTCCCCTCCGTCTCCCATTTCCCCTCCCCTACCCCTTCCCCCCAGGGTGTTCAACCGCTACTACGGGGCGGACGGGGTGCGCATCTACTCACAGGACACGTGGCAGCGCGTGATGGGCGGGGGCGGGCGGGCGGCAGTGGTGCAGCACATGGCGCTGGTGGCGGCCTTCTACTGCGTGCAGGCGCGCGCCCAGAACTACCTCGTGCGCGAGGTGCGTGGGTCATGGGGCATGGGGTGTCGGGCATGAGCGACGTGCATGGGGCATGAGGCGGGGCATGGGCCTGGAGCATGGGGCATGGGGCTGGAGCATGGGGCATGGGGCGTGTGGTGTGGGGCATGTTGCATGTGGCACGTGGCACGTGGCGTTCACTCACACAGTGCAGTGAGCATCACACAATCCCGTTGTTCCCTTGCTCTGCCACTTCCCAACTCATATCGTATGTGCAGCAAGTGGAATAGCACTGGCTACGCCAGTAACACAATACCCTCCCTGCGCACCGCTCCCCACCCCTCTCTCCACGCCTTCCCAAACCCCACCCCACCCCACCCCACCCACCCGTGCCATCAGACGGCGTGCTTCTGCATTGCTGAGGTGGCTGCCAAGATTGACCGCCCGGTGAGATTGTACGGGGGGGAGGGCAGTGGCGGGTGGAGGGGCAGGTGGGGCATCCGGGTGACGATTGGGAAGCACAGCAACTGGTAGGGGCTGCTGCTACTGCTGGCACAGCATCGCAATGCTGCTCTCTCTCACTCTCACCGCACTGCATTCAATTCCCCTGCTGGTTTTTTCAGCCCTTCCCTACCTCTGCCCCCGCACACTCTTCATCCTGCTCCCTCTGTCCCCACTCCTACCCCCTCCCCACCCCCCATGGTTCCAGGTGGTGCTGCCGGTGCTGCCGGACCTGCTGCCGAGCCTCCTCCGCTGCCACACCGACCCTGTGTGGCCCGTGCGCTGTGCCGCCTGCTCAGGTGCCCCTCCTTCCCCTGCCCTCGGCGGCCCCTGACATGCTCTTCTTCTTGAGACGCCTCACAGCTGATTCCCTCCTCCACTGCCTTGCTGTGCTGCACACCCCCCTCCACATGCACATCGCTCCACTTTCACTTCAGCCCACTCGCGCCCTTCATCCCTCACCTAACACTGCTGTGCCTCCCTTCCCTCTTTCTCCCCTTCAACTCACACCTCTGTCCCCACCGCCTCTTTATCTCTGTCCCCGCTGTCTCTCCTCTTCGCCGTCCACGCTACCAGCGAGTGCCGGTGTGGTGGAGCATTATGGTGACGTGGCAGCACAGCACATTGCCACGTGGGCACCAACCTGGCTTGCCAACCTCACAGACGGTGCGTCCTGTCACACCCACACATTGCACGGTGCGTCCTGTCCAACCCACACATTGCATGCCGTCACTCGTCCCCCTCATCCCCTCCACTCTCCATTGCTCTGCCCTTTGCTAATCTTTCCCTCGTGTTCAGTTTTCTTCTACCACTGCCACCACCCACCCTGCCACCACCCACCCTGCCACCACCCACCCTGCCACCACCCACCCTGCCACCACCCACCCTGCCACCACCCACCCTGCCACCACCCACCCTGCCACCACCCACCCTGCCACCACCCACCCTGCCACCACCCACCCTGCCACCACCCACCCTGTCCCATACGCAGTGATCCCGGCGGTGAGGCAGCATGCGGCGGCGCTCATAGGGGCGGCGCTCACCACCAGGGAGACACAGGGCAAGGCGCTGCAGGTGACAGGGGGGGCACACAGGCATGGGTCGCACATGCATTGTGGTTGAAACGATTCAACAGTTACCTCAGTTTCAGACGTCTCATTGTTCTCTAAGGGTCCTTTGTGTGATGAAGCCCACCCCTCTCTCTTCCCCCCCACCCCTCAGATCACCCAAGACGCGCTCCACAGCCTGCTGCCTGCCGCCCTCTCTTCCCCCGCCCCGCACTCGCACACACACACTCACCCACCCACCCCTGCCTCCCCCTCCGCCTGCTGCCCTGCCGCGTCCCACTCCTGCTCCGCCTCCACTCACCACCCCCATCCCCACCCTCTGCATCCTCCTGCTGCTGCCACAGCACCCTCGGGCCTGCAGGCTGTGCGCATCTCTCTCAGGTCCGTGCTGCGCTGCCCTGCCCGCCACTGCCCCGCGTGCTGTCCTTGGTGCTGCCCTCCATGCCCACCTCTCCGCACTACGTCCCATCTCTTCCCTCTACGTCCTCTCTTCCAGTCTCTGCCATCCCTTGGTTCACCTTTTTTCCCTCACTTTCTTGCCCATGCTTCCATCCCGTCTCCTCGCTCCGCACTCCAAGCAGGGACCCCTCGTCACCACCAGACCCAGCACGCCCCTCCTCCATTGACCAGGTACTCACTCCTCTCCCGCACCTCCTTTCCTCTCCTCCTCCATGCCTTGCTGCCTGCTCCGCTAAGCCACACTTTTTCTTGGCATGCCCATGCCACTCTACGCCACATCGCGCCACCACACAGCACTCCATACATACCATGCCAACCCCGTGCTCCACTCGTCCCCCCATGCCCATCCCATCCCATCCCTCCACCTCGCCTGCAGAAGTTCATCTTCGAGCCCGTGCCAGTCAACACCTCCTCCTCCTCCTCCGCCTCTGCCTCTGCCCCTACTGTCACTGCTGCCACTGCCGCCCCTGCCGCTGCTGCTGCCCCTGCTGCTCCTCCTGCCCCTGCTGCTGCTGCCTCTGCTGCTTCCCCTGCTGCCTCTCCTGCTGCCCCATGCACGTGCCACCATGCGCCCACAGCAGAGCCATGGGAGCAGTCGGAGGGGGCGGTGCAGCTGCTGCCCTTCCTTGCTGCCGCTGCCCCCGCTGCTGTGGGGGAGTTCCTCCCCACCCTCGCACAGCTGGTGTGTCTGTCCCCTCGCCCCCCACCCTCACCACTGCACTGCATTGTATTGCACACACCATCCTTGCGTGTGTGCTGCCGCTGCCCCCTCTGCGGTGGGGGAGTTCCTACCGACCCGTGCCCACCTCTTCTGTGTGCCCACCTCTTCTGTGTGCCCACCTCTTCTGTGTGCCCACCTCTTCTGTGTGCCCACCTCTTCTGTGTGCCCACCTCTTCTGTGTGCCCACCTCTTCTGTGTGCCCACCTCTTCTGTGTGCCCACCTCTTCTGTGTGCCCACCTCTTCTGTGTGCCCACCTCTTCTGTGTGCCCACCTCTTCTGTGTGCCCACCTGTTCTGTGTGCCCGCTTGCCCTCTGCCCTCACCCATGGGATTTTGCACTGCACACAGCACACCTTCGTGCTGCCACTCATGTCCTGTTTTCCATGCCATGCCATGCCATGCCATGCCATGCCATGCCATGGTTGTTTGTAACATTACGTTGCCTTGTCTCTTCCACCCCTCTCAACCCATCCTCACCGCACCCAACATCCACCAGGCGGGTTCACCAGCAGCAGCAGCCCATCCAGCCCTCCTAGTCACCATAATGCGCCACCTGCCGCGCATCGCCAAGGTCACTCCCGCCCCCTTCTCCCCCCACCAGCGCCCAGCCTTTCTGTCCACTGCCCACTACCCACTCATCATGCGTTCACACAGTCCCCATCACACTCTCATATTCAAGACATCCTGCTCCTCTTGCTTGCTCACCTACGCCTCCATGCTCCCTTCTCAACCTCATGCTGCCTCCCCTCCTCCGTTCCCCCCATCCCCATACACCTCCCCTTTCCCCTCCCAGCCAATGGGCAAGCGCCAGTTCAAGGTGCACGTGGAGCTCTTCCTGCCGCCGCTCTTCACCGCCCTCGCCTCTCACCAGGTCCCTCGCCTCTCACCAGGTCCCTCTGCCGCCCTCACTGCCTGCTCGCCCCACCCCTTACTGCTCGCCTTGATTTCACCCCCTCCAGACTCGTTCATGCGTCTGTCCCTTATGCGTCTGTCCCTTATGCGTCTGCTCGCCTTGATTTCAACCCCTCTCCCGCTCCTCCCCTTCTGATATTCCGTGCTCCTCCCTCCGCCCCCCCCCCTTGCTACAGCCGGAGGTGGCAGCAGCAGCGGGCGTGGCAGTGGCGGAGCTACAGCTGCTAATAGGCCCCAGCATCTTCGAGGGGAGGCTGTCCCCGATACAGAGAGAGGCCATGACTCGTTACAAGCACCTCATTCACCTGCGTCCCCAGCAGTCCTCCGAACCTGCAATGCCTCCTCATGCCCACCATCGGCCTGGGTCGTGAGGTCCGGGTCGGGGGCATTGGGTGGAGTGGGATTTGGCACTCCGAATTACTACACTCGCATGTTCTAGCATGCTTTATATTACAGCAACACGTGTTTAACCCTTAAAACTCCAACAGAATTGCAAGTTTTCCAGACTAGATTCGTGTGGTTATGTAAGAATGTGCAATATCTCATATTGAAACTTCATCTTGTTTTCCTCGACAAAAAGACCACAAGGCGGTTCGTCCAAGGGCGTCCCCCTCGGTTTTCGCCCACTCGTCGCTGACGCGATCGTGGTGCCTCGTGACTGGTCGGAGGGGAAATGACGAGTGTTCGCGCATGCTGCTGCGTCAGCACTGCCCATGTCACTTCCATAACTGACCAATCGTATCGCATCACGAGCTCGCCACGTGGATTGAACCAGGGGCAATTTGGTGAGCGCGCCTCGTAATCAGCGCCTAGCTCTCCCATCCTATGCTCTTCGCTCGCCCCCCTCTGCTCGTTGCAAGCGAGACCCAAGCAAGCAGCCCAGCTCCTCGTCATGGAATTGCGGCCAAGCATCACTTGCTCACGCGCAGTCATGGTGCAAACTGCACAGCGGTAAGGCATAGCCGCCACGCTCTCTGGTGATAATTTCAGTGCAGTGAGAGAGGTGACCAAGAATCGAAGAAGAGAGAGCGCGCAGGGAGGAGACATCTGCTAGGTCGCTACTGCCATTCCACCACCTGAGGCACCACCGCAGCCACGCAACTGCCGCCCTCGCCGGCCTCTCAGGCAGCTCTCTGACTGCTCGCGGAGCTGACTGCGCCAGCAGAATCTCCGAGGTTGCGCTAAATACATCTGCCGCCGCCTGTAGAACCGCAACGCTCGTCCCCTTGTAACGGTCACCCGCAACGCTCTTAGAGGACCCTCTCTGAGCGCGCCCTCTCTGAGCGCGCCCTCTCTGAGCGCGCCCTCTCTTAGCGCGCCCTTTCCGAACGAGCTTCTCGTTCGACGCGCCCGTCTTCTCTCCTCGCGGTCCTTCTCATGGCGTCGCACGCCCCTTGCGACGCGTCGCAGCAACCGCAGCGACAAACGGCGGCTCAGATGAGCGACGCGGTGAGCGACGCTGTGCGATGGTGCGCGAACGCGGGCGACATGGAGTGCGCGCTGTTTCTGATGTCGCGAATGAAGCAACGAGGCGTGCGACTGAGCGACGCATGGTGAGAACTGCTCTCTGCTGGCCTTCCGTCCGTGCCTTAGTTCCCTGCCTTCCTTCTCAAAAGCACCGCGGCGTGCGACTGAATGACGCCTGGTAAGAGCTGCTCTTTCTCTTTGCTCCGCGCCTTCCTTCTCGCGCCGCACGTGTCGCTTTAAGAATATTCTCAAGATAGCTGCCCTGCTCGTGCTGCTCCCTCGCCTTTGCGCTGCTCCCGCGCTATGTGCCGCCGCCATGCCTGCCCGTGCTGCCCTCTTTATCGTTCGAACCAATGCTGCAACCACCACTCTCCGCTAAATGAGCTGTTCGCGTCTTATGCTGTGCGGATGACGCGGCTGAAGCGGAGCGCGTACTAAAGAGCAACGAACACACGCGTCCCTTGATTCGTTACGTGAAGGAACACAGCGCAGTGCACTCGATGGATTAAAGACAAAATACGAAGTCCCTGTTGAGGCGTTTAATCGAACGGATTAGTCATGAGAGACCACATTGTGCATTTGAAGCATTGGGGTTGAGGGTAGACCACAGCACATTGCACCACTGCGCGTTATCGCCGCACAGTCTCAATACACCAGCCTTCCTGTCGCTCTCCTCTTCCCTGCTCGCACTCCCCTCCACTCCTTCTAACTCAGCCTCCCCGTCCCTTGCCCATGCGCCTCCCCGTCCCTTGCCCATGCGCCTCCCATCTCCCCTCTCCCCATGCCCCTCCGCGCGCCTATTCCCCCCCAACCCTCTCTCCCCCCCACACCAGTCTCGATCTCTTCTTCTGCCCCAGCAACGCCCCCCACTGCCCCCCGTCGCCCCCCTCTTCCCGCTCCCCGCCTCCCCTGCCGCCTGCACCCGCCTCGCCCCCATCCCATTCCACCTCCCCCTCCTCTCCGCCCCCCTCCTCCTCCCTTTCCCCCGCATCCCCCTCCTCCGCCTCCCTCGGTGCTCCCTCCAACCCCCCCTCTTCCACCTACCCATCCCCCTCTCCGCCCTCCGCCCACCCGTCCCCCGCGCACCACTCCGCCTGCCTCTCCCCCGCGCACCCGTCCAAGTGGCGGAGGCAGCAGCAGCGCAGGAGACACTCCATCCTGCTTCACCCGCCCACGCCGCACTCCCTCTGCCACTCCCACCTCGTCCACACGCCCCCCCATCCGTCTGACAACCAATTGCATACTGCCACGTCAGACGAGAGCAGGGACAGCAGCAGCACCAGTTCCCCCAGCAGCAGCAGTCTCTTCCTCTATCCGTCCCCTTCCTCCTCCTCCTCACTCTCCTCCTCCTCCTCCCTCCCTCTCGCTCACAACTTTGACACCGCTGACTCAGCATGCTCGCCAGCATGGCGCCATGCCACGTGTCAAGCGCAGCAGCATTGCGGGGGCGGCTGGAAGGACGTGCCAGGGGAGGTGCTACTGGCCATTCTGGACGGCACTGACAACCGCACACTGCTGTGCGCCGCTGCTGTCTGCAGGGGGTGGGCTGCTGCTGTGTTCGGCCTCACTGCCCAGCTGTCGCTCTCCTGGTGAGTCGCCTGACCTGCGTGTTGGGATGTAAAGCACCGGGGTTTTGGGCGTTAGTGGTTCAGAGGTTGGGTATGGAAGGCCCGAGATGGTTGCTCCATTCCTGAGCTGCTTCTTTTATGCCCTACCTGCTTACCCTAATGCGCTAAAAATCCCCTCACCCATCCTGCCTTGCGCGATGTGATGGATGCGTGTGCGTGGCACCACACAGGTGTGCCAAGGGCGTCAACTCGCTGGCCTCTCACCTCGTGCCGCACTTTGCACGCCTGCAGGTGAGTGTGTAGGCACACACACCCTCACACTCACATTCAACCCTTCACTCACACCCTCTCTCAAACTCTTCTCACACCCGATCGTTGGTAGAAGTAACCGCGCTCACTCACGCCAGCCCCTTGACCTTGCCCATCCACCCAATGGTGCCTCCCTGCATTCCCTGTCACCACCGCCCCTTGCTGTCACGGCGCCACCCCTCCTCTACACCTTTATCCGTGCATGCATTTGCCTGAAATCCCACTCTTCGTGCTGCTTTCCTATTTTCCTCCTTCTCCACCTCCTTCTCCACCTCCTTCTCCTCCTACTCCCATCCACCACATCAGGTGCTCGATCTGCGGCGCTGTCCATCACTAAGGGATGCCACGCTGGCAACTGTTGCTGCCAGCTCACCCATGCTGACGTGTCTGGTCCTCAGTGGCTCCCCCCTCATCACTGACACGTCACTGCACGCACTCGCCTCCCACTGCCCCTCGCTGCAGGTATGTCAGCCCACTCCCCTTCTCTTTCGCTCCCTCCTCTATTGCCCTTCCACTTTCTCCCCTTCCTCTACCCTCCCCTTTATGTCACTTGCTCACCTGCTCACCTGCTCACCTGCTCACTCTCTCTTTCTACTTTCTTTTTACTTTATTGCCTTTCTTTTTCACGTTCTCACCTGCTCTAACCCTCCCCACCCATTCCCACCCCTTACCTCCCCTTCCTCAACGTGCTATCACCAAATCGTTTTCTCTACCGTCCACTTGTCGCTGCCTCCCGCTTCGCTGGCCGCCTCGTTCCCCCCACACTGGTGCCCCCCTGCCCCCTGCCCCCTGCCCCCTGCCCCCTGCCCCCTGCCCCCTGCCCCCTGCCCCCTGCCACATCCCCCTCCACCCCGTGCATGACTCAGGTGTTGGATCTGAGTGCCTGCAGCGCCATCTCCCCCGCGGGCCTCACAGCACTGGCGGCGCGCTGCACGCAGCTGGGAGAGCTCTCCCTGTGTGGCTGCCGCCATGCCGCCACCGACCAAGCTCTCATTGTGCGTGTGCTGTGATTGTGTGGGCTGCGCTTGTGAAATTTGTTAGTGAAATTACGTACTGACAACTACTCAACGGGTGTTTGGTCTAGTGGCATGATTCTCGCTTAGGGTGCGAGAGGTCCCGAGTTCAATTCTCGGAACACCCCTTTCGCAGATGTTTTTTTACTGTACTGTCCTCTCCCACCCCGAATCCCCCCTTTGCTGTTCTCCACCGACCTTTCCCCGCCCCACTCACCCATGGGCTATCCCAGGGGTGCCTGTGGCTGCACCAGCCATCCAGACAACTGTTTCCACCAATGGCGTTTGCACCGTTCCTTCACTCTCCCCTTCCTCCTACATGCCTGTCCCCAAGGCGCTAGCGCAGGGGTGCAAATGGCTAGAGGTGGTGAACCTGGGGTGGTGTGAGGGCGTCACGGACCGAGGGGTCACGGCTGTGGCCAGGGGGTGCCCGGGGCTCAGGGTGGTGGACCTCTGTGGCTGCTACCGCATCACAGGTATGTTTTGAGTTTATTACGGTATTGAGGTGTCACGGGTGTGGGTTGGGGACACTGGCCATGGGGTTCATTTTAAGGTCGACTCATCAATTTTAGTTTTGAGGCACGTCAAAACTCATCTCATGCACGGGTGTGGGCTGGAAACACTGGCCATGCGATTGGTTCTAAGGTCGCACTCATGAAATGGCTCGTGCTGCAGCATGGGTCTTCTCTTCGTGTAGCACAGAGGGCCTTGGGACTGTGAGCACGGGTGGTTTCATCCCAACAAGGCATTTGCTCTTTTCCACACACACACTTTGCTAAGCCGCCCAGCACTTGTGTCCCTCCTTGTGCTCACACGTCCATCCCTCACACACACCGCTCTGCTGCCCTGCTCCACCCCCATTCTCCTCCACGACTCCGCCCCTCAATGACCATCCCACCACATTCCATGAGAAACAATGCATCCTCCTCCTGCCACCCTCCTCACCACCCATCGTTCCGTGTGACCACCAGACGTGTCAGTGGTGTCATTCGCAGTGCACTGCCCCTTGCTGCAGCGCGTGGGCACTCTACTATTAACAGCGAATCTTTTCTTCTAACCCATTTGACCTCCCTATGTGCCGCCCTCCACCCCAATCAGACGCGTCAGTGGTGTCACTAGCGGCGCACTGCCCCTTGCTGCAGGGCCTGGGGCTGCACTGCTGCCGCCAGCTCACCAGCCACGCCATGCTGGCACTCGCTGACGGGGCGGCTGCCACGTGGCACCGCCATGCTGGCAAGCACGGATCCTTGAAACCAACATCCATGGGAGCATGTGAGAGGGCTGCTGCCGCGGCACGGGGCATGAGGAGGAGCATCCCCCCTAGGCTGGCCCTGCCAGCCACCCCTCGCATGTGAGTAGCATCAGTTCAACCCCCCCTCCCCCGTGCTTTTGATTATTCTTCTGCTTTCGATGCCTCCATTTCTGACTGCACAAGTGATTGCAACGGCTGCCCGGTATGCGGTATCTGTGCTGCTCTTCACAGCAGCACCTCTGCTGCAATGTTCCACTCATGCCCATGGCATGCCATGGCATGGACACACTGTGCTGCATGCCTTGCCACCACCACTCATGTCCTCACTCTCCCCTCTCCTCAGTTACATCCAATCCTCATTCATTGTCACAACCTTAACCCCAGAACCCTCTCCCCCACTGTGGCTCACCCATCCCTGCCCCCACTCCTCAGGGGCGATGCCACCACGGTGCTCTACTCGCGCCCGCCACGTGGCGCGCACGGATTGGTCTCGCTCAACATCAGCGGCTGCCTGGCCATCACCCCGTCAGCCCTGCAGGCGGTGTGTGACGCGCACCCCCATCTGCACACCTGCCCTGCCCGCCACTCCCTCAACACCAGCGGCTGCATCGCCCTGCAGCCTGTGCACTGCCGCTGCCCCCGTGCCTCTGCTGCCTGACCGCTCCCACCTGTTGCTGCCACCCATGTCCCTTCAGCCCTACAGCGCGCACCTCACCTGCACACCTGCCCTGCCCGCCGCTTTCTCAACACCAGTGGCTGCATCGCCCTGCAACCCGTGCACTGCCACTGCCCCCGTGCCTCCGCTGCCTGACTGCTCCCACCTGTTGCTGCCGACCATCTCCCCAGCAGCCCACTTCCTCTCTCACGCCCATGCTGCGCCTGCTTGCTGCGCCTGCTTGCTGCGCATACAGGCCATCTCTCACCCCTGGAAAGCATGCCCACCCGTCCCCATGTGCACACCAGCGGCTGCATCTGTCGCGTTATTAACGCCTAGCCAGCAGGCTAAGGCGTGAATTACACAGCAGCCAGGTAATTGTGCATTTCTGGACTTGTACTCTAATTTCTTTTGTGTGCGTGGTATGTACTGTACATACGCTTTACAGAGCCGAGTGCAGGGAAATTCGAGGAGGTTGGTATAGAAGAGGGAATTCGATTCCAGCTGGGAATTCGATTCCAGGTTGGGAATGCAATTCCAGCTGGGAATGCGATTCCAGGCTAGGAACTCGATTCCAGGTGGATTGCAGTGCATGCCTAGTGGGCCCAGTGGGAGCTAGCTAGCACCTAGGAGCCATCACGAGCAGTGCAGCTGACTCGCGTCTGGCACTAGAGTTAGCGTGCTGCAGGAGGAACCTAGGCAGGAGGAGGGAATGTAGTCGGGGGGAGCACTCAGGTCTCTCGCTTTTTGCTTGTATGTTTCTCTTTTTACTGCAATCTTGTTTTCCTAAGCCAAAGGAAGCTAGCAGTAGGGAGAAGCAGGAGCAATCTGACGGAGCCCTTGCGAGGGGGTTTAGACTTGTTCATACAAGCAAAAAGCTGCAGTGCTGAAATTTCAGCAGAACAGGTACGAACGCCTGGAGGACCTGCGGTGATGCACCGTAAGGGATGAGCGGCCTTGATCAAGAATTACATACTCATCAGCTGCGTTCAGGTCACAGATTTCCTGCGCGGAGGATGGAGGGGCAAGCCCTGCCGACTAAGACGCCTAGGTTCCGAGCAGAAGAAGGAACAGCGAACGCTAGTGGTAATAGCAGCGCGGATCCAGGAAAGGAGGGCGACCGACGGGAAGAGCCTCCACTGGGCTCTAACTGCAATTCGCCAGCGCCAGGGATGGGATCCCAATCAGCCAGGGTTGGAGGATCTCAGCGTGGAACCCCAGCACCGAGAGTGGGAGACCATCAGGAAGATCAGCGGAGCCAGCGAGAAGGAGAGGCGTTTCACGGATTCTCTGCTGGAAGATGCGAATCCAGGGAGGGCGGTAGAGGAAATCAGCATGTGGGGATTGGCGAGAGGGGAACGGCGAGCTGGGGAACGGCGAGCTGGGGAACGGGCAGAACGATAAGTGCAGCTCCACCTAAGATTGAAGTGCCGGATCGCTTCTCAGGAGCGCCTGGAGAGGAGCCCACGCTGAAGAATTATCTTATGATGGTGGATGACATCCGATACTGCTGTGAGAGGGAGGGGCACGATCCCATTGAATTCTTCAGAGGATTGGGGAGAACGCTCAAGGGGGGAGCGTTGACGCATTACCGGGTGGAGAGACAAGGGTTGTTGCTGCAGAGTAAGCGGGGAGACTTCGCGCCGGCGGAAATCACCGACCGATTCCTGGAAAGCCTGCGAGAACAATTCCCGGGACATTCAGCAGATCGGATGACAGAGTTCCAAGATTTTAAGAGAGCGAGAGGAGAATCTCTGCTAGCGTACTATAATCGACTGATGGAGCTGGCCGAAGACATGGGCTGCCTGGAAGAACGGACCTTGGTGTCGAAGTTTGTGGGTGGATTGGATGAAGACCTGATGCAAGATATGCGGAGCCGACTGTACGCGCTGGGGATGAAGGCGAAATTGCGACAAGTGTATCAGGTGGCGAAAGAGGTAGAGGAGGGAAGAAGGTTCTTCGATGGGTTACGCGGAGCGAGCTCAGGAAGATCAGGCGAACGCAGGAGGCCGGCGTGGGCTGCGGTGGAAGGAAAGTGGATGGAAGAAGAACGGAGAGAAAAACCATTTGAAGACAAGCGACGGTGTCACAAGTGCGGGGAACACGGGCATCTGCGAAAGGATTGCGCCATCGACATCATATGCGACATCTGCAAAGAGAAAGGGCATTTCAGGCGGAATTGTCCCGAGGCGCCGATCTGCACCTTCTGTAGGAAACGGGGACACACGGAAGAAAGGTGCTACAGCAAGAAGGAGAAGGGGGGAGAAAAATCCGCTAGAGAACAGCAGTTGGAGAGGGAGTTAGCAAAGCTGAAGGCGCAGATGGGTAAGGTGGAGATCAGCGAAGACCCGGAGAAAGCGCTACTAGCTTGGGAAGACGAGGAAGAGGAAGATTACGGGGAGGAAGAAGCTGAGTATGGGACAATGGCCATGTCGCCCAGGGACCGAGAAAATTTGGGGTTGAGAAGTGGAGGGAAGGACGGTAGAGCGGAGCCGAAGCAGCCAATGAGAAGGACTTCAAAAGTACCTGAGGGGACTAACAAGCCGAAGGCAGCTCGGCGACACCCTGAAGAGCGACTGGTCTGCCAGCCCACGGCTCTGGTGGTGGAACCGAAGTCTGTAGCGGTACGAGGGATTCTGGTAGAAAATGTCGTGGTGGATACAGGCGCGCAGAGTGTGTTGCTGGGAAGAAAGCTGACCGAGCAGCTAAAAGCGCAAGGAGGTTGGGAAACAGTGAGACGGGGAATACTGATCATGACCGCAGAGGGAGGGGCTCCCAAGTGGATGCCATGCACTAAGGATCTGATTGAGATCACGCTGCAGCCGGGGGGGGGAGGGAGAGACAACGATAAGGGTGCAGTGCGGACTGACGGAATCAGACGACTACGACATTTTACTGGGAATGGAGTTGCTCTACAAGATAGGGACTACGATATGCACCTGGCAGGAGCAAGTGCTATACCGCTCGGATTTCTGGGAGGAAGGGAAGGAGCTGAGTGAGCTGCCAGTGCGTTTCATCAAGACTGAACCAAAGAAAGCCTGGAGGGCAGGAGGCATGGGGAGGGGAGGAAGTACAAGCGGTGGGAAGATCATGGAAATCCAGCCGGGGGCAAGCATAGACCAGTACAGTGTCACACTGGTGGAGCTGTTCGGGGGGCTGGGAGCCGGTTTAGCAGCAGCACTAGAGGCCGGTCTGAGGGTGAAGAAGTGGATCTATGTGGAGGTGGATCCTGAAGTCCGGAGGATGGCCTGGAAACACGCACAGGTACTGCAGCAGCGGTACCCCGCCCAGCTGAGGAAAGATGTGGTGAAGGAGGCCATGCAGAACAAGAACTGGGATGTGAAGCAGATTACCAAAGAAGACGTAAAGAATTGGGGAAAAGTGGACCTGCTAGTGGCCGGCTGGGAGTGCCAGGGTACCTCGAGGGCAGGGAAGGGGAAGGGATTGCAAGATGAGCGCACAGGGTTAGTGACCACGCTACTGGAAATCATGAGGTGGATGAAGGAGGTAGAAGGAGAGTACGCTTACATTCTAGAGCACGTGGATATGAATGGTGACGCTAGGGAGCCGGTCCGAGAAGTGCGGGAGCTGGTGGAAGCAGAATTGGGAAAGGGAGTTAGATGTGACGGGGCGCAGCTGGGGGCACTAACGCATCGGGTGCGGCGCTTCTGGCAAAATGTCCTACCTGAAGGGGAGCTTCGGGCTCGGTTGGCAAAAGTAGAAAGAGATGGGACTAGGATTGTGGAGGACATCCTCGAACCAGGGAGGTTAGCTCCTCTCCTCGCCAGCGCTCCTCTCCTCGCCAGCGCTCCTCTCCTCGCCAGCGCTCCTCTCCTCGCCAGCGCTCCTCTCCTCGCCAGCGCTCCTCTCCTCGCCAGCGCTCCTCTCCTCGCCAGCGCTCCTCTCCTCGCCAGCGCTCCTCTCCTCGCCAGCGCTCCTCTCCTCGCCAGCGCTCCTCTCCTCGCCAGCGCTCCTCTCCTCGCCAGCGCTCCTCTCCTCGCCAGCGCTCCTCTCCTCGCCAGCGCTCCTCTCCTCGCCAGCGCTCCTCTCCTCGCCAGCGCTCCTCTCCTCGCCAGCGCTCCTCTCCTCGCCAGCGCTCCTCTCCTCGCCAGCGCTCCTCTCCTCGCCAGCGCTCCTCTCCTCGCCAGCGCTCCTCTCCTCGCCAGCGCTCCTCTCCTCGCCAGCGCTCCTCTCCTCGCCAGCGCTCCTCTCCTCGCCAGCGCTCCTCTCCTCGCCAGCGCTCCTCTCCTCGCCAGCGCTCCTCTCCTCGCCAGCGCTCCTCTCCTCGCCAGCGCTCCTCTCCTCGCCAGCGCTCCTCTCCTCGCCAGCGCTCCTCTCCTCGCCAGCGCTCCTCTCCTCGCCAGCGCTCCTCTCCTCGCCAGCGCTCCTCTCCTCGCCAGCGCTCCTCTCCTCGCCAGCGCTCCTCTCCTCGCCAGCGCTCCTCTCCTCGCCAGCGCTCCTCTCCTCGCCAGCGCTCCTCTCCTCGCCAGCGCTCCTCTCCTCGCCAGCGCTCCTCTCCTCGCCAGCGCTCCTCTCCTCGCCAGCGCTCCTCTCCTCGCCAGCGCTCCTCTCCTCGCCAGCGCTCCTCTCCTCGCCAGCGCTCCTCTCCTCGCCAGCGCTCCTCTCCTCGCCAGCGCTCCTCTCCTCGCCAGCGCTCCTCTCCTCGCCAGCGCTCCTCTCCTCGCCAGCGCTCCTCTCCTCGCCAGCGCTCCTCTCCCTCCTCGCCAGCGCTCCTCTCCTCGCCAGCGCTCCTCTCCTCGCCAGCGCTCCTCTCCCTCCTCGCCAGCGCTCCTCTCCCTCCTCGCCAGCGCTCCTCTCCCTCCTCGCCAGCGCTCCTCTCCCTCCTCGCCAGCGCTCCTCTCCCTCCTCGCCAGCGCTCCTCTCCCTCCTCGCCAGCGCTCCTCTCTCTCCTCGCCAGCGCTCCTCGCTCTCCTCGCCAGCGCTCCTCTCTCTCCTCGCCAGCGCTCCTCTCTCTCCTCGCCAGCGCTCCTCTCTCTCCTCGCCAGCGCTCGTCCTCGCCAACAAGGTGAAAACAATAAGTACCTGGAAGTGGCACGCTATGAAGCACCGTCAGTGCTCGTCCCGTCGTCGCGCGTCGTACCTCCCGTCGACATTGATTGCCGCCGCGCCGCTGCTGCGCCGCCCGCTGCCGCCCCCCACGCCGCCCGAAACAGCCCCTGCCGCCCGAGAAGCTCCTCCCCCGCCGCCCCCAGCGCCAGGGGCCAGGCCTGGCGCTGCTCCCCGCTCCGCGGCGCCTGTCAGCGCGCCGCACGCCAGGCTGCTCAGGCTGGCGCTTCCGCCGAGGGTCAGCGAGCCCCCGGATCCGCTCCCTCCTCTGCCTGCGCCCGTCAGCGAGCCGAACGCGCCGCCCACGCTGGTTCCGATCCGCGCTGAGGGCTTGCGCGCGAGGGCGGCGGTGATGGCCTTTAAGAGCTGTGATTGGTGGAACGGCTTGAGCGCGGGGAGGTGCGCGGAGCAACGCCAGCACCAACGCCAGCAAGCATCTTCTTGGCAAGAGACATCGATCCAGCTCCAGTTCACTGCAGCATCGCTCCTGCACGGACAGAGACATTCGCAACATGTGAGATATCAAGACCGTCAGATATGCGACCGTCAAAAACGAAACGCGATCGTCAGAATACTGAGCATCAAGAGAGCAGCAAAATAGCAACTGGAGACACTCCTCTTCAATAGAGCGTTTCCTGAGAGCAGCAAAATAGCAACTGGGATTTGCACGAAAACTCACAGTAGTAGCGGCGCGAGCGGCGACGTATTCGCGTCGTCCAATCCACGAAGCTGCTCCTCCTCCGTCGATCCATATAATGGCTCCTCCTTCAAGCTCGGGACGTCGAGAGCTTCGTAGGGACGTCGCGAGCTTCGTAGGGACGTCGCGCGCAGCTCTTTTCTCCTCCGTCATCCCACCGTCGCGAGCGCCGACGGCCTCGCAAGCTCTTTCGGGTTGACGAAACGCTTCTCCGCCATCAGGGATTTCGCGAGCTTGGAAAGAGCATCCGCGTCGACTTCACGAAGCGTGCCATCGAGATCTCTTCCATCATGCATCGCGTCGCGTAGTCGGACGGCGTCGCGTCGCGACTGCATCTATTAGTTGTTGAAAGCGTAGTCATCAGCGTAGTCGGACGGCGTGGCGTGGCGTCGCGTCGCGTCTTCGTTAACGTCGCTGTTGCGTCAGTGAGCCGTTGTCGTTAGCGACCATGCATGCTGCGAGACCAACATGAGCTTGTTGAAGAAAATTGCTGCGAGATTCGCACTCTGGAAGATGCTCTATGCATCATTTCAAGCCGAATGAAACTCCTCCTCTTCCGTCGCAACGTCGCGAGCGACGCATCGTCCTAAGTCGCATCGTCCTATAAAAACCCTAACTACGCTAACGCCGTCGTAGAACGAAGAATGACCGACGGGAAACGTCATCGTGTAAGGAATGTTCAGGTCGAGAGCCTGACGTCAAACAAAAACTGATCCTAGACGAAGTTGATGGGATCTTATTTGCTCAAACAGAGTTGATAGACTTCTAGCTTCTAGATTCTATGGAAATAACGAGTTGCTCGACGTTGAACAGGATATGACGGTATAGAGAAAACGATCTGACGGTCGTCCAGAAAATGATCTGACGGTCGTCCAATTAGGACTGTTGAGCGTTTTGATTAGAAGCCTAAGCTTAGTCTCAAGCGATTGCTAACTTTTACGCACGCGTCATTACTGAAGAAGCGGCCATGGACGGACGGACGGAGTTAGCAAGCAAGCGCCTGAAAGAACTCGCGAGAGGGATTGTGGAATTGAAGGGAATGCGAGGCTAGCGGAAGTGAGATGAGTCGCCGTGGAGCAGATTCACACACAGGGCGGAAGGAATGCCCTAGCGGTGTACTAGTCCATGGTGAGCCTGATCCAAGTTCGGTAATTCGGTTGAGTTCGGTTACTAACGTTTCTACGTGGTACCACGTGAAAGAGGTTCGGTCGATCAAGTACAACTGAATGCGATGGCCTAGGTGGAGGTGAGGTGAGGAGGGGTGTGGAGAGGAAGGGACGTGAGGGAAGGGAAGTGAGGAGCCGAGTCGCCATGCAAGCCGAGAAAGTCCCCTGTCTCCAGTACAGCCCCAAGGCGGGAGACGCCGCTGCTGCTGCAGACTCTGGTTGCGGAAATTTTGCGCTGACGAGGCGGGAAGCCTTGGATGGTCGCCGGAGGAGGTGCGCTGAACGGCGGGGAGCCGCGAAGACTGTCCGAAGAGCTGGCGAGCGGACAAACGTTTCGTCAGGGTTCGAAAGTTACCATAAACCGCTGTGCAAGAAATGTTACAGTGGTTTTGCGGGGGGGCTGGTCCTGACTTCTACGGCGTTGGATAGGGTGGTGATGGTGAGGTGAGGTTTGCTGACAGGCAGCAACACTATTGGCTCGGATCTTGTGCAAGTGTCAGACCAGAGTTTCGAATTTGAGTTTACCGTCACCTCAACCGTCTGTTGGAGGGAAAAGCCGTTTTCCGGCACCATGCCGTAGAAAACTCGTTATTACTTGGAAGCAGTGGGTGATTGTTGATGCTTGCTTACATTTGTAAACTTCAGCCAACAGCAATTTATATTTACTACTCCAAAACCTGCACTGCCACGGATTGAAGAATCGAAACAAATACCATACATGTAAATACCTGACAAGTCAATAGTAATTGCTGAGAGCACTGACAACATGATGGGTGGTGGGAAGTGCATCACGCACTAGGGGCAAATCCCAAGGTCCAGGCTTCATCCACCTGCTGTTCCCTCAACACCAGCGGCTGCATTGCTCTACAACTCATGCACTGCCACTACCCCCGCACTGTTGAATTATATTTGCATATCCTGTTATAACTGCCTACAGCTTGCTAGTGTATTAGTTAGATATTAGGTTCAACTGCTGGTGGTGTACCCTTTTCCCCTTCCTCTCCTTCCTATTTGTACTCCCAACTTCATAATGAAAGCCCTCTTTTGGCCAAACTTCTCCCTCCATGATTCTCCTTGCTAAACCTCTCTTAAACCTAAGTACTGCATAATCTCCTAATCTTAACACGCACCTCCTCTGGCTGACTGCATGTTCCCTCCCTCACTGGTGGGATGTCTGCCTACCCAGCAGTGCCCACCCAGCCTGCTCTCTAACCAGTGGGGTGCCTGCTCAAGCAACAGACGTGCTTTCTCTGCTAGCTCTCTGCTTGTGGAAGTAATGGACCACAGCCAATAAGTGCCTGTAGCCATGCAGTTGTTCTATCACATGAATGTGCTGTGTAAAAGGCGTGCAGTAGTTTTTGCAAGGGGTTCCTTACTGCTTGACAAGAGGTATTGCACAGCACTGAAGCCAGTAATGGTTCAGACTGATCTTGATGATTTCATGCATCCGTCAGGAGGTCAATACACAGCCCCTTTCCCTTTGAAAATTAGCTGAGCTGAGTGTTGTTGCAAAGGAAAATATAATTCATTGCGCTTTTGCAGGCGTATAAAAAGTCTAGCACTGTCCAGGTATCACTACCAGGTATCACCTACACAGTATCTTTGTGAGACGCGGACCCTCCTAAGCGGCGGTCTTGGGCTTGAGCTCCTTGACCACCTCCCACGTGAAGTCGGGGTCGTCGCGGCCGAAGTGGCCGTACGCGGCCGTCTTCTGGTAACGCTTGTTGCCCCCCTTCTTCAGGTCCAGGTTGATCGAGATCATGCCCGGCCGGAAGTCGAATGCCTCCTTCACTAGCTCGAGGATCTCCTTATCGGGGATCTTGCCAGTGCCATACGTGTCCACGAAGATCGAAAGAGGCTCGGGCACACCGATGGCGTACGAGACCTGCCAGGAGGATAGTTAGAGATGGGAGTGAGTTAGCACCAAAATAGATGAACTAACCGCAGTACCAGCTAAAACATGGTACTTGTTGCTCAGATCCACGTATCCACCTAAATTCATTCTTGAGAGCATCGTCAACAGGGTGCGGGTGGTGTGTGACGTGGATCGGTTTCTTCGGGGTGGTCACAAAACAAACGCCATTTACCTCAATCCATAATTCATAAACCCTACAACCCGCCTTCCGATCTTACCTGAGTGAGCGCGCGCCTGGCGAGGCCGGAAGCGACGATGCTCTTGGCGGCCTGGCGGGCGACGTACGCGCCGGAGCGATCCACCTTGGTGGGGTCCTTCCCGGAGAAGGCGCCACCTCCGTGCGCGCCCCACCCGCCGTACGTGTCGATGATGATCTTCCGCCCGGTAAGACCGGCATCACCGTGGGGACCGCCGATGACGAAGCGGCCGGAGGGGTTAAGGTGGAAGATGGTGTTGTCGTCGAGGTACTTAGCGGGGATGACGGGCTTGATCACGTGCTCCTTGAGATCCGCCGCGATCTTCTCGTTGGTCACCGTCTCGTCGTGCTGCGTGGAGATGAGCACCGTGTGCACGCGGATCGGCACCATCGCGCCGCCCTCGTTCTTGTACTCAACGGTCACCTGCGTCTTGCCGTCGGGCCGCAGCCACGGGCACACGCCGTTCTTGCGCACCTCCGTGAGCTTCGCGCCCAGCTGCGTGGCGAGCACGTGCGTGAGCGGCATGAGCTCGGGGGTCTCGTCGGTGGCATAGCCGAACATGTGGCCCTGGTCACCAGCGCCGACCTCCTCGGGCTTCTTGGTGCCCATGCCGTGCACACCCTGCCCAATGTCGGGGCTCTGCTGCTCGATGTTGATCAGAACCTGCATATTCCACCAGTAGTGAACCGTCAGTACGAATCCATCTGAGTGACAGTACGCTACGCTTACTAAGACGATGGATTCGTGAAACCCGCGGAACGATTTTTTCAAGCAAAGAAACACAAAAACACAAAACAAATCGGAGATTTTAGGAGGGCGTACATTGCACTTGTCGCAGTCGAGGCCGACGTCGTCGGAGACGAAGCCGATGTTCCTGACGGTGTCGCGCACGATCTTCTCGTAGTCGAGCTTGGCCTTGGTCGTGATCTCGCCGAAGATCATCACCATGTTGGTCTTGGTGCACGACTCGCACGCCACCTTGCTGTCGGGGTCTTGCTCCAGGCACGCATCGAGAACGGCATCGGACACCTGTAAATCCAAGCGCACACGCAGGGACATGCAGAAGCTAGCTTAATAAATCCGTACATCACTCATCAATAATTTGAATCCAGATTCGTCAGCGAACCGAGGGAGCTAATGGACTTTCTGAACACTTTTAGGGGAAAAAACCAAATTTACCTGATCGCAAAGCTTGTCAGGGTGTCCCTCGTTCACGGATTCGGAAGTGAAGAGGAAAGTTTCCGTGGCCATGACTCTGAATTTGGAAGAAAACCTGAATCTGTGGGACAATATGGCCAATGGACAGAGGGAAACTGAAGCAAGCTCAAGCTACTGAAGGGGAAAATGAATTTGGATTCTTATTATCGTCACGTCAGTGTGTGGAGGTTTCCCTGGGCGACAGCGCAAAGCTCGATGGGCGACAGATCAAAACCCGATGGGCGACGCCATCACCGAACATTGCGATGGGGTGACCCCGAGGGGACGGAGGACGGATGGCGGGAAAATGGGACCGCGGGATTTGTCAATGCTCCCTGGGGTCGGAGCCCTCGATTGACGCGGAAGTTCATCTTGACCGTTCGAACTCGTCAGGTTGAAGTCCCAGGAGAGCCAGCTGATCATCGATGCGTGCGAACACAGCACGCCTTTCGAATCACGATTCGCCAGGTCACTTTCGGCGGAAGGTGATACCACAGCCACCACTTTCGCGAAACCCCACACTTCAGGGAAATGAGAATCGTTCGGTGTACCTAGTCGAGAAACGCAATCAGGATCGAAAAACATTACTTCGCTTTCTTTCCAAACATGTAATCATCATTCGTATAATGTAGAATGCAAACCAGAAGAACAATTTAATATCATACATATTTCTCCCTTCCATTCAGGTTCTGACTCCGCCTCACACAAGGATCTAAGGGGTGACATAACTTGGAATAGTCAATAGTGAACCCCTAACATCTGCTCCGCTAATGTGTGGTCTTGCTTTGCAGTGCATCCAGCAACTGGTTAGCCTGCAGCACACAGAAACACATGCATTGTAAGCAAACGAGCATGAGAAAATATCACTAAGACGTTTGGCAACGTCCACTGGCACCGCCTGAGCTTGGGTTGGTTGTGATAGCAGCCACACAGATAAACACACCCCATCCTCACTCCCAGATCCTCGCATTCACTAACAACTTCCATGACCCATTCCCGTCATGACCCATCGACCTACCGTGAGTCGAGCTCTCGACGACCCGCGGTGCCTCATCTTGCGCAGCACCAGCAGCGCACCCTCCTCCAGCATCTCCTGCCGTGCACCCTCCTCCTCCACCACTCTCACCAGCACCGCCCCCACATCCTTTTGCACCCTCCTCCACCGCTGCTGCTCCCCTGCGCCACTCCCCGCATTTCCCGTCCCTCCCCCTCCCCCACCCGGCCCTTCCTCTGACACGGCACTCAGCTCTGCCAGAGAAGCCATGGATGGGGAGGCCCCTAGGGCTGTGCTGCTCGCCCCCAGCAGCTCCACCAGTGGTGGTATACCACCGGCGGCAAGAATCTGCCTGCTGCCCTCCTTGGCCTGCGCCAGCCTCGCCAGCACGGCCACTGCTTTCTCCTCCAGGCCCAGCCGCATCCCCCCCTCCTCCTCCTCTAGCATCCGCACTAGAGGACAAACGGCGCCGGCCGCGATGATTGCGGGGACGAGGTCGGCGCAGAGGGAGAGGTTGAAGAGCGTGAGGGCGGCGTCCTTGCGGCCGCGCAGGGAGCGGGCGGGCGAGGGCGGCAGCATGTGCACCAGGCCGGCGAATGTGCCTGCCGTGGCTGCCACCCGCCGCCGCATTGCGTCCGGATCGCATCCAAAGAGGTTCAAAGCGGTGCTGAGCGGATCGGGAGCAGTCGGGTTGGGGTTTGAGGGGTGGTTGCCAGTGAGGGCTGGCTCTTGCTGGGGGAAGGAAGAGGAGAGGAGGGCAAGGTGGGCGGTGGAGAGGGAAGGGCCGGTGAGAGAGGAGGTGGAGGAGGAGAGAGAGGTGGAGTGTGCAGAGGAGAGGGAGGGTGGGAGTGGCGACGAGGTGAGCATGAAGAGAGCAGCTGCTGCATTCTCCCGTGCCTCCTGTGACACCACCGATGGCAATCCACCTGAGCCCGCTGTCCCCTCATCATCCCCCCTGCACGCCCCCTCCTCTCCCATGCAGGCCCCTCCATCCCCCATTCTCCCCTCTCCATCACCACCACCAGTGCTGCTGGCACCACTGCTGCCACCGCCACTACCGCCACCACCAGTGCCGCCATCACCAGTGCCGCCATGACCATGAGGGCAGCAGGGGCGGGCCACGAGGCGGGAGAGGGCGTCCACGGCGCCCTCCGCCAGCAGGGCGCCGTGAGTGGCGGGCGACAGCGACAGGTTCAGCAGCGCTGTCACCGCGTGCCCCACCGCCTCCCGCGCGCTCTCCCTCCGCGCGCTCTCCGCACCCACCGCCTCCCGCGTCCACGCCTGCTGCACGCTCGCGCCCACCGCCTCTCGCCGTTCCCCTTCCGCTGCCTCCGCCGATTCCGCCGTTTCAGCGTCCTCCGCTTCCCCTTTACCCGCCACCATCGCCCCGCAGGCTGCTGCGCTTTCCCCGCCTCCTGTCCCCGACCTCTCCTCTCCGCGTTCCGCCCCACCTAGAGGCCGCGCTGCCCCCTCCACTGCCCTTTCCCCTTCGCTCCTTCCCTCGCGCTCACTTCTACTCTCCGCCTCGCCCGCCGCGCTTGCTCTCCGCGCTCTCCGCCCCTCACCTCCCCGGATCCGCGCGCTCTCCGCCAGCAGCAGCGCGTCCGCCACCTCCACGAGCGCGCCGATGGCGCCCGGCACAGCCGCCACGATGCTGCGATTCGCGTCGCTGCTCTTCACCAGCAGCCGAACCGCACGCGCTGCCGCCGATACCGCCGCCAACTCTTCAGCGCCTCCCGCACATTCCGCTCTTCCCTCTCCGCCGCCCGCGATTTCTTTCTCCCCGCAGCTTTCCGCCACATCCGCGCAAACCGGTTCCGCCGGCTGTTGCGCCGCGCCCCTTACCGCGCGCAGCTCCCCCATGAGGTGCGCAACCATTCCGCGCACCTCCCCCTCCATGCGCAACCGCTGCTGCTCCGCCTCTTCCCATCGCAGCGCCTCCTGCTCCCACCCCACAATTACCCCCGTTTTCCGCGTTCCCACCGGCGAAGTGTGCGGTCTCTCGCTCTCCCGCGCCCCGCCGTTTCCGCCAATAGCCGCCCAATTGGAGGGGCTGGGCGTGATGATAAGCGCGCCGGTTTGTAGCGAGTACGCGCATTGCAAAGTGCGGGGCGAGGGGGCGCTTGAAAACGACAAATAAGTGCCGCCCGGAGTCCTTGGCACGCTTGCGTCGGAGTTCGTCGGCGAAACGGCGGAGTCCGAGAGATTCGCCGGGGAATGCGGAACTTCCACGCGCACAGCCGCGCGGTGCGAGGGAAGAAACGAGGCCTCGGCGGAATGTGCGGCGCGCATCTTACGAGACGCGGAGGAGCTGCTCTTAGGAGATGTCGGCGCTTCGAGGTTCTTCCACATGTCCATAATCTCCGGCGGAGGCGTGGCATCAACTGTTGCGGCAGATTCTCTGTAACCTAACGATGCTCGAAAGGGGGAACCCGCGGCGCTAAACGCGGAATGCGGTGCTGACGTGGATACGCTACTGGACAGGTCGGATGATGACGCGGCTCCTGCTCCATGATCGATCGGCGTGTCGCATGACGTCCCAACTCTTACTGCCGACTTAGCGCGTGACGCACCCCCGCTAACTGCACCTTCCACCATTTCCTTCGGTGATAGTAACGAAGTTCCATCGACGTCTCCCCGCACTTGCTGCGCCGGTTCCGCCGGCTTCTCCGCTTCCGCTGCTGCCGGCCGCGCATCGCCGCGCGTGCTGCTCTCCGTGTCGGCGTCGTCGCCGTAAAACGAGTGCGTGGCGGGGTTGCGGCAGCAGATGAGCGACCACACCCGCCGGTGGTGCGCGCCGTGCGGCATCGAGGTCGAGGAGGTGACAGCCATGGCAGCGCCTAACATGGATGGATGGGGAAATAGCAATAACCAGCGATAATGTTGATGTGAAAGCTCTCTTATCTATGAGCGGGTGAGTGGGGCTGGGCATGAGTTGGGTCACGTTGCGCTACAGCAACTGGTTCGGGCCAAACCTCTTTCAGTGGCAGCGAGGTTGGCATGGCAGCGCTGAAGCATTCGCGGGGTTTCCAGGGGCTTGCCAAGGTTTATTACGTTGCTGTGTGGTGGAAGGAGATGAAAGCAAAGCCAGCACGTGCAACGTTTGGCTGAAATCGAATCGCAATGAGCACCGTGTGCGTGAACTTGCTGTGCGATCTTTATATGGTCTGGTCTGGAGTCGGACAGCGTTTCACAACAGAATCAGTTTTGTTACTGAAGCACTGTACGCGCTGTCGTCTTTACTCACCATTACTGCGTTGATATCGAGCAGTACAGATGCTCCATCGTAAGGTTTAGATGTGCTGAACGCATAAACCTGGAGAGTGTCATCCATAACCATAGGCGGCATCATACCTAGCGTAGCTGCTATTACGGGGTACAAAGCCAGCCTGTGACTAGGCGCGTCCCCTCCCTCGATCGATCGCGCGATCGCTGTGAAGAACCGATCGGGCACACCGATCGCAGGTTTGGGGTGTGTTTGGTGGGAGGTGACAACAGCGGATCGATCTCGATCCCTGGGTGACAGGATCGAGAATACAAGGGGCAAAAAACCCTCGATCCTTCTAAAGCCGAGATCGGTGTGGCCACGAGGGCACATCGATCGTCACAGCGGAGGTGACAAGATCGTTAGGCACAAGTTACTGTAGATTCGCAAGCCTTCTCGAAATATGGTTACCTTGTCAATCGCGACATTGTATCTGTTCCTCGATCGATCGAGGGCAGGATCGATCGAGGGAGGGGACGCGCCCTAACGCGATTGATCCATGGTCTCCATTGGCTGAAAGAATCGCCATGACCACTGTTTGTGGAAAGGCAGTCAATTGTTCTCAGTAATGTGGTACCCGTTTGTTGTACTGGTCTGTACTTATCTCGAGATGTTGTAAAGGTCACAGACGCACAACGAAGTCGTCGCCGCAATTTCTTACTGTCGTTGCTGACTCGTCAATTGTGGTGCTGCGATCAGGTTCCGAGGGCGGAAGGCGGGAAGTGTGTGTCTGACGTATTCGCAGAGTCGCCTGCGACAGACTTGGAGCGTCGCCAGACAGAAGGCGGAGGGCGACGCAGACGTGACAATGGCGGCTTGAGGCGGTGTGAAAATTCGAATTGACTTTAGACCCCATTTGCACAGGGTTGCACTCTGGAAGTTTCATTCGATTATTTTCATCTTGGAACTGAAATCTCTTGGGGGAAGCACGGTATTGCTGCTTGATTGGTGTTAAATACAGTATGCCAGGTGTTTCATGCTGTGGTTCCAACAACTGTGCTTTCGGAAAACAGCCCCCTACCCTCAATCCAAACAGCCCTTGCTGGTTGGTTCGGCTCTGTTGCCTTCGCATCAGGATGGCCGACTGGGGAAAATGCTGACGGATGCTCTACTTCCTGGCAACTGGCAATCAGCTCATCCTGCGCGATTGGTATCTCACCTGACGTCACTCATGGCTGATATGACTAAGTCTAGAGTGGTCTGCGCCATAATCCCCTTCTCGTAGTTACTTGGTATGCTATAAAGATTAATGTTTTTTTTCCGTCGTCTTTCAAAATTTACTGCTTTGTCCGCCTCTACGGCTCATCCTGATCTCTCCGTTAGACGCTAGTGTACTGATGCTCTTCAGCTTGAAACGCTTATGCCGTATCAGATAACCCATATCGATAACTTCGCCTCTGTCATTCGATCGGCAAGTGCCACATGGCACATCTGACGCACTTCACTCTGCAAGTCCACGCCGAGCATGCCTCCTCCCCCTCCTTAGTCGCGGCGGCTCCCTCGTTTCTATTCGCCTCGCCCTCCCTCCTCACTCTCTCGCAATTCCTCGCCGCGCCGCACGATCGCGCCGTTTTTCTCACCGCGGTGCGGCAGCCGCGCGACGCGGCGTCGCCTTCGTCGTCGGAGTACCTCATCCGCGACCACGCGGCCCCACGTACTGCCACGCCAGCAGGCCCATCTGCTGCGTCACCGTTCGGCCCAGACGACTCATTTCGAGTCGCAGGCGAGGTGGTGGGATGCGTGCGAGGGAACTACGGCGGCACGCATTTCATTCTAGCGTCATGCACGCCGCGAACCACGGCGACAAAGGATGGTACCACTAGCAGCGAACCGCACGGAACGGTTACCAACGATGGCGAAATGCATCGAAGCAGCAGCTACGACGATGTTACAGAAAGCAGGCCGCAACGGGGTGCGGCCGATGAGCGAGGGCGGGCGCGGGCGCGGGGGCGGGGGGAAGGCGGAGAGAGTGAGGGGAGAGCGCGGAGCGCATCGGGGGAGGAGATCTCGCCGCCGCGCGGCGGAAGCAAGAAAGCGGATGCTCCCGGCAAGGGCGGGAAGGCGGGCAGAGATTTTAAATCCGGAAAGGGGTTTCGTCGCAAGAAGGGAAGATCGTTGTCGCACGGCGGTTTTCTTTTCCCAAGAGGGTTGTCGCATGTCGATCGTGCGTCGTCCAGCCTCGCCGGTGCTGCCGTGATCGACGGCGATGCGCCTGCCTCCGAAAACGCCGACGCGTCTCCCCGGCACGTGGCTTCAGAGCGAGCGGCCTTCGCGCCGCTGCTCATTGGATGGCTGCCCGCGAAGGGCGGCAGGGGCGGCGGAACGGGGGGGGAAGACGGCGCGAGAGGATGGGGAGGAGCGGGGGGAGGAGGGGCGCGGGGGATTGGGGGGTTAGGAGCAGCAGGGGGATGGCTGACATGGAATGCGCGGCGAGGCTCAGGAAATGCGCGAGCGAAGGGCGACGACGAGCGGACGGGCGACGAGCAGAGCGAGTCGCAGGAAGAAGCGACGCAGGGGGGAGCGTCGCAGCGAGAAGAGTCGCAGAGGGAAGGGGCAGAGAAAGGCAAGCCGCAAAGTGTATTCGGCGTATCCTGGACTCAGGTACGACCGCGTCCCCTCTATACGCAGACTCGCTTTAGTGTATTGCACGTCGCCGTGTGGAAGCAAGCGCGCGTAACGCCGCACCCGCCCGTCGCCCCCCGCCCGCAGGTGGCGAGTGTCGCGGCGCGGGGAAGCACGGGGGCGCACGCAAGCGGAGAACGCCGCGAGGGGGGTGACAGTAACGAGTTGGAAGCTGTGGGGCCGGAGAACGGGGTCGTGAAGGGCAGCGCAGGATATTATAAAGGGAGTGCGAGTGGGAGTGCTGCTGCGGGTGCGAGTATGAGCAACGCGTTGTGGCGTGTCTTCAGGGGCGCGCAGGAGAGCGGCGAGGAGTGTGCTTGTAACGAGGTGACTGTTGAGTCGATTGAGAAGTGTTCCAGTAACGAAGGGGCGGAATGCAAGGGCGCGTTGCACCGTGGCGGCGCGCAGCAGGGGAGCGGCGCGCAGCTGTGGGGCAGCGGCAGGTGGGGGCCGCGCGGGCGCGGAGGCGCGGCGGAGAGCTTGAAGGGCGCGGCTGACAGTTTCAAGGGCGGGGCGGAGAGCTCCGCTTCCGCGTTTCTCCGCGCCATAAAGGGCGCGGGCGCCCGGGAGAGTGGTGGTGCTGGCGGGGGCGGGGATGGCGGAGGTGGCGGCGGTGTGGTGGGCAGTTGGGGGAGGGCGAGCGGGGACAGGCGGAGCGGGTGGGCGTGGGTAGACGCGTGGGGGGTCGGAGAGAGGGGCGCGGGCGCGGACGAGGGGATGCGGAGCAGGTGGGCGGGGAAGGCGGACAGGGAAGGGGTAGACGGGAAAGACAGGAAAGTGTGTGGAGATGCGGAGAGTTCAGGGGAGCTTGTGGGGGCGGAAAGGCGGAGAGAGGCAGGGGCGGAGGAGGGGGGCAGTGAAAGTGGGGAAGGGGGGAAGGGAGTGGGGAGTGGGCAGGCGAGGGAAGGGGCCATAGGGACGGGGGAGGAGGGAAGGCGGAAGCAACAGGGGGATCAGCGAGTGGGGAGGGCGGGAGAGGGCGGAAGTGACGTGGGCAGTGTTGCTGACGCGGGCAGTGGTGCTGACGTGGACAGTGGGGCGCACAAGGCAGGGGGCGAGCAGGCAGGAGATACCAAGTCAGCCAGCGGAGTGGAGGGGACGCCATGGCGGGAGGAGGAGGAACCAGCTGCCAGCGAGGACAGCTGCTGCAGCGGCAACAGCAGGGGGAGCGAGGGGAATGGGGGGAGTGGGGGGAATGGGGGGAGTGGGGGAAGCGTTCAAGGCTGTGAGCAGCACGATTCTGTTGATGCTGTTGACTCGGTTGACTCGGCTGACTCAGGTGATTCGGTTGCCTCAGGGGACAGCGTTGACTCGGTTGACTCCACAGAGGACACAGCATGCTCCAGTGGTGGTGGCGCTGGTGGCGCTGGTGACGGTGGTGACGGTGGTGCACTGCTGAGGTCATCTGCATCCATGCCCTCGCTGCAGTCCCGCCATCCATCTCACCATCCCCATGCCCTCGTGCTTGCACACTCCCATCCGCACGCCCAAGCATCAGCCATGGTTCTGAACTCGCAAGATGCTGCTGCTCCTCTCATGCGACCGTCAGCCTCGTTCTCAGGGCCACTGGCGCTGTCAGGAGCACCACCACCACCACCACCACTAGCTGCGTTCAGCAGGCGGGGCGGGGCGGCAGCAGGAACATCAGCTAACCCTGGTGGTAACCGCAGCCGCAGCACCAGTGCTGGCAGCAGCAGTGGCAGTGGCAGTGGCAGCGGCAGTGGCAGTGGCAGCGGCAGCGGCAGCAGCGTGCAGCTGGCAGGCAAGGCAGAGGCTCTGATTCGGTTCATCGCCTCTCCTGCTGCTGCACCCCCTGCAGTGCCCCACGGCATGCCTCGACTGTGGACCAACGCCAGTAGCGCTGGCAGCAGCATTAGCAGCAGCATTAGCAGCGGTGGTGGCAGCGGCGGCGGCAGCAGCAGCGGGTGGGTGATGGAATGCACTCTGCTGGCAGGGCTGGGACGTACGGCGGGGCAGGGGGGCGGTGGAGAGGGAGGGAGTGGAGGGAACACAGGGCAGGCAGGCCAAGGCACAGAGCATTTTCGGAATGTGCAGCTGGTGGCGCATGTGGGTGGCGCTGCTGCTGTCCCTGCTGCTACTCATTTGTCTGGTGCTGCTGGTGTTGGTACTGCTGGTGTTGGTGGTGCCACTGCGGTTTTGGAGGTGCATCTGCGGGATAAAGGGGAAGGGGAGAGGGTGGGGGGTGGGGACGGGGCAGCAGGGGCGTGTGTGGTGCGGCTGGTGAGGATGAGGGGAGGACGAGGGGAAGGGGGCAGTGGGGGCGAGGGAGCAGGGCAGGACAGGAGGGTGAGTGCGCCTGGTGTGCTGGCCACTGCTGCAGCAGCAGCGACAGCAGGTGCAGCTGCAGTGAGTGCTGCAGTGGTTGCAGCGACAGGTTTAGCAGCAGGTGCAGCGACGGGTGCAAACGCAGCAGCAGGAGAGGCAGCAGCAGTGGTGGCAGGAGGGGGGGTGTATCTGCTGTCTCTGGATACCACAGCAGTCTCTCCCCTGCAGGCGCTGGGCATGTGTGTGGCATGGCTGGACAGCGCTGCTGCCAGGCGCCCTCTTCTGTAGCACTGCACCAGTGCTCCCCTCTGGGCGTACAGTCATCATCAGCATCAGCATCTGCGTGCACCAGTGCTCCCCTCACAGCTCTAGGCATGTGTGTGGCATGGCTTGACAGTGCTGCTGCCAGGCGCCCTCTCATCTAGGCAGCATGTAGCGCAAGGCCTCTCATGCGCACGCTGTGACTGCTCCTGTGCAAGCAGTGATATGCACCTTTTACAAGCCCTTGGAATGTGCGTGGCATGGCTGGACACCGCTGCTGCCAGGCGCCCTCTCATGCCCTAGTGCCTACTCTGCACCCCCTAGGCGTGCAGTCATCATCAGCATCTGCATGCACCAGTGCTCCCCTCACGAGCCCTTGGCATGTGCGTGGCATGGCTGGAGAGCGCTGCTGCCAGGCGCCCTGGCATGTACGGTAGGCAGCAAGTGACCAGCCGGTGGGGCTAGCCCTCGGTGTACTGCGGTAGTCACTCACCGCTGGTTACTCACCGCTGGTTACTCACCGCTGGTTACTCACCGCTGGTTACTCACCGCTGGTTACTCACCGCTGGTTACTCACCGCTGGTTACTCACCGCTGGTTACTCACCGCTGGTTACTCACCGCTGGTTACTCACCGCTGGTTACTCACCGCTGGTTACTCACCGCTGGTTACTCACCGCTGGTTACTCACCGCTGGTTACTCACCGCTGGTTACTCACCGCTGGTTACTCACCGCTGGTTACTCACCGCTGGTTACTCACCGCCGCTGGTTACTCACCGCTGGTTGGTGAGAGCTCTCTAAGACTCGCACAGCATAGCACGCTCGTGTACACTCTATAACTGTTTCCTTGGATGTTGGTGGTGACACATGTATACACTTGACCTACTATCGCTGGTTACTCACAGCTGGTTACTCACCGCCGCTGGTTACTCACCGCTGGTTGGTGAGAGCTCTCTAAGACTCGCACAGCATAGCACGCTCGTGTACACTCTATAACTGTTTCCTTGGATGTTGGTGGTGACACACATGTATACACTTGACCTACTATCCCAAGGGCGTTGCCCACGCCCACCCCCTCAACAGGGAGGATAGTCAATGAATGGCGCACATCCTAGGAATTCTGCTTGCCCTCTGCATTCTGCAGCCGGTTGTGTCGATGCCCCCACAGCACTCTCCCCTTCACCAGCCCTTGTGGAGCCTTGAGTCTTGATCTGTGGGGTGCTGAGCATTGTGGTGTGATACGGTAGTAGCGCTGCTACCAGCTGCCACATACGGTAGGCAGAACAGGCAGGCCCTTAGTCCTGCTCTCCCGCACAGGCTGCTGATGCTCTACAGTGAGCTTCCAGGGATGGATGGGCTGGGCAGCGTGGAGTGGAACAGCTAGGGGTGCGATGTTGGTGTTGCACTTAGACTCGATTGGTGTGTATTTGCTGTTGTGACTGACAGATATTGCTGTTTCTGGAGCGTGTGCTTTGAGTTTCTTGTTATTCCAGAGCTTCTTGCATGTGAGGCTCCTGCTTGCACTGAGATGCTGTGTGCCACACATACAGTGCTTAGCCAGTGCAAAAAGCTGCTTTAGCAGCAGCAGCAGCAGCAGCAGTAGACGACGTACATGGCGGCACACTCCCTGCGATGGGAAAGCAGCCTACTTTGGAGCCGGACGCTGCTTCAGTGCGCAACTCTCGTGGGTATGGAATGCACTAGTGGCTGGACTAGACATCCACAGTGCTGCAATGCTTCTGTGGTGCTTGTATAGACACAGAGCACGTACCGTAATTACAGTTGAGATAGTCAGAGGGCGAGAGGGCAAGGGGAACACAGCAGCAGCCCGTCCTCACATACTTCCCTCGCCTCTCCTCCATCCATCCCTGCTGCCACCACCGCACTCTCACTCGCTCACTCGCCGCTTGCCACTCGCGTACGAGAAGTTGGTTCGCAAGAATTTGTTTTTCTGCCAACTGTTAAATATATTAAACAATTGCTTCGGGTACACACAAGTGTACCACTACAATTAAGGTTATCTTCTCCCGTTACCCTCCTACCCTGACCCTAACCATTAATAATCACTTCTCTCCTAGCGACCACACGTCCACGCGTCCCGCACAGGCGATGCGGGTTACCACGTGGTAACCCACATTTCGCCTAGGGAATGGGGATGGCGACCTTCATGTCGCGCTGGCAGTCGTCGCCAATGCTGCTGCCGAAGTAGAGAGTGGTGCCCTTGTCCGTGGGCTTCACTATGTAGCGGTAGAATCCGAAATAGGTGCCGGACGCGAGCGTCTTGGAGAGGAAGAAGCTGCACGTGCTATACCCGATGATCGTCGGGAACTGCCGCACGTCGTGCCGGCCCAGCCAGCGGAACACTGCATAACGGGGATTGATGGGCGGGGGAGGATGGATGAAACAGGGGATCAGAGAGGGAAAGGGACGGGCGACGAAGTGCACACGGGGGGAGCTTCCTTTTTGCAAAGCACAAAGGCTGGCTCGATTGCGGTCAAACGGGAAAACGCCTTCTCAAAGAGCAGTGTTGATTGGGAAGCGCATATTCGTCACCCCAGTAAACCCAAGTCGCCGTGCGACGTGGCTTACGTATGATATCGCCGGGCTTGATGTTCCTCGGGGGAATCCAACCCACCACGTCCTGATTCCACGGACTGACGTAGCATATCGGACTACTTTAGAGGCACGTTAAAGAGAGTGGGGCGTGGCTTACAAATGATATCGCCGGGCTTGATGTTCCGGGGGGGAATCCAGCCCACCACGTCCTGATTCCACGGACTGAAGTAGCGCAGTAGCCCCGACCCCACCTCGTATAGCTTCCCCTGTGTTTTCAGCTGCGCGGATGTAGGGCGATGGGAGAAGCGGGAAAGGCGAGAAGGAAGGAACGAATAGAAGAGGCACTATTGAGAAGAATAGCGATGGTTGAGGATGGGAGGGGTGGGTGAGGGGGGTTGGAGGTGTGGCGGGTGCGGACGAGCGGTGGGAGGAGATGGGGCGACGGTGGCCAGCGGATAATGCAGAAGAAACACAGCAAGGTGCGAGCTTTGCCTGGTAAATTGTTCAGGAGAAGGAAGACGGGGGGCAGCAGCAGGGGGGCAGACACGAGGGGCAGAAGGGCGCGGAGGGCGATAGTGGGCGGAGAGGGAGGGAGTGGTACCTGTGCGTGGGCGAGCTCTGCGTGGAACGCGCACAGGAGGATGCACGCAGTCAGAACGGCTGTGAGCCTCGCCATGCCGGCGAGTGGCGCGGACTGCGAGAGCGAGAGGGCGAGGCACGAGCGTGCTGCTTGCGATCTGAATGTGCTGGTTGCGGTCTTAACGAGCTAGTTGCTACGACAGAACACGAGTGTGCGAGAGGTGCACTGGAAAGCTATGGCAGCGGGACCTTCTGTGAGTTGAATGAACAGCGTCGCAAAACAAGTGGCCGTTTTACCGACTCTGTGAGGGTCAAAGGAATTTATATCGGAACTGAGGTGCGGTACTCGCTTATCACCAGAGTGGTAGTATATGTTAACAAGAATGTAGGACGGTGAGCAAAGACCACCGCCACGGACGGTCGTGGCGCCTGTTGGGCCGACAAAATTCGTCCTCTTAACCTAGCCGCCAAAGCACACAATATACGGACGCGGAGTTCTGCAGCAAAGCAAGGCACAGGCTGTGTAAGGTTGAACTAGGAGGGAGGATGGCTGTGTGTGCAGGAGTAGCTAATCCGTTGGGGTGAATTGGAGAAATGGGCGCGGGAGGAAGGGCGCCACAAAGCACGCCAAACCTAGTGCCTCTGCGAAACGTTACTTGGAAGATGTCGGATGGGAAATTTTGAAACAAGCGAATGCGGTTCGAAGAATACGATTCGCTGAGGGACAGGGGGCGCAATCATCAGCGACTCGCAATTGGTAAGAGCCAATCAGGTGAAAACGCAGAGCACAACAGCTGTCGCGAACGGGTGTCAGATGCTCAACTAGCGACGATCGGATGGTATGCGACAGTCGCCAGCGAATTCAAAAACAGCAGATGTCGGTGGTTGGGTGATTGTTCTCAATGGAACTCCAGAACCAAGAAAAAGGAGAAAAAGCGCGCCAGCAAGGGGTCGAACCTTGGACCTCTCGCTTAGGAAGCGAACACTCTATCCACTGAGTTACAGGCGCACGACAATACTTCGACAAAATACTATTAGAAGCTGGCAGTTCCGGCAGGGCGTACGAAGTCTTCCGCCTCTGGCTTGCTCACTCGCAACATTCATATGACTTTCTACAATACATATCGTCCCCAATTATCTATCACTGCGTTAGTGTATCATACTCCATTCTAATTGCATGAAAATGACCTCAGTCCTTTCAAGCCTCATCTCCTCAGGTCTCTCCGCGCCGACGCATCAATGCATGTCAACCTCTGCCTACTCACCAGCACCCGCCCAAGCCATCTCTCTGAAGCGGAACACACTTGATGCTACCTGACGGTATCTAGCCAAGGCGCTCACACTTGTGCTGCCATTGGTGGGACGATCTTGTTCGTCAATCGTTCCTGGCTTTTCCTCTGCTCGCACTTACGCCAAGTGATAAGCTTTACAATCAATCGAGTCGTTGCAAAGTACCCACACTCGTTTGCGCTTCGTCGTCCCCAATTCCCTTTCAGCCTCGTCTCCCGCGCGCTGCGTCCCACTCCCCATTCTGACCACGACCGCTTTTTCTCTCGATAAAAGCAGCCTCGTTTCCAGCATGGATCGGCCGTACCAGGGCGGCAGCGCGGCGGCATCGTGCGTGGAGGAGGGCGGCAGGAAAGGCGAGACCTTGGACGACGCGGCCGCGGAGGAACTCGCGGCGAAGCTTCGTCTGAAGTTCCGGACGGGCGAGACTCGGAACTTGGCGTGGCGCGAGCAGCAGCTGCGCAACCTGGTGCGCATGGCGGAGGAGCACGAGGAGGACATCATGACCGCGCTCAAGACCGATCTGGGGCGCGGCCGCATGGAAGCCCTCATTGAGGTGTGGCACTGGGTGTGGGGCGTTGATACAGAGAGAGTGCGAGGGTGCGGGTGGGATGCGCATGTGGTGCGCATGACGGAGGAGCACGAGGACGACATCATGACCGCGCCATGGGGCGCGGCCGCATGGAGGCGCTTATCGAGGTATTGAGGGTTCTTTTACAGATTCATGTCATGTGCATTGCTTCTGGTTCTTGTGAGATGCATTTTTTTCGAGGGATTGGGAAGCGGTGTGCCGATGGCATCGAGAGGGCGAACAACGAAAGGCTGACGTTGAGAAACGGACATGGGGGAATGTCATTGGGGGAGTGGCATTGGGGGAGTGGCATTGGGGGAGTGGCATTGGGGGAGTGGCATTGGGGGAATGTCATTGGCGGAGTGGCATTGGGGGAGTGGCATTGGGGGAGCGGCATTGGGGGAGTGGCATTGGGGGAATGTCATTGGGGGAGTGGCATTGGGGGAGTGGCATTGGGGGAGTGGCATTGGGGGAGTGGCATTGGGGGAGTGGCATTGGGGGAGTGGCATTGGGGGAGTGGCATTGGGGGAGTGGCATTGGGGGAGTGGCATTGGGGGAGTGGCATTGGGGGAGTGGCATTGGGGGAGTGGCATTGGGGGAGTGTGAGTCGGGGAGCAAGAATCGAGCAGTGAGAGGCGTGGGGCAGTGAGAGGCGTGGGGCAGTGAGAGGCGTGGGGCAGTGAGAGGCGTGGGGCAGTGAGAGGCGTGGGGCAGTGAGAGGCGTGGGGCAGTGAGAGGCGTGGGGCAGTGAGAGGCGTGGGGCAGTGAGAGGCGTGGGGCAGTGAGAGGCGTGGGGCAGTGAGAGGCGTGGGGCAGTGAGAGGCGTGGGGCAGTGAGAGGCGTGGGGCAGTGAGAGGCGTGGGGCAGTGAGAGGCGTGGGGCAGTGAGAGGCGTGGGGCAGTGAGAGGCGTGGGGCAGTGAGAGGCGTGGGGCAGTGAGAGGCGTGGGGCAGTGAGAGGCGTGGGGCAGTGAGAGGCGTGGGGCAGTGAGAGGCGTGGGGCAGTGAGAGGCGTGGGGCAGTGAGAGGCGTGGGGCAGTGAGAGGCGTGGGCGTGGGGCAGTGAGAGGCGTGGGGCAGTGAGAGGCGTGGGGCAGTGAGAGGCGTGGGGCAGTGAGAGGCGTGGGGCAGTGAGAGGCGTGGGGCAGTGAGAGGCGTGGGGCAGTGAGAGGCGTGGGGCAGTGAGAGGCGTGGGGCAGTGAGAGGCGTGGGGCAGTGAGAGGCGTGGGGCAATGAGAGGCGTGGGGCAGTGAGAGGCGTGGGGCAGTGAGAGGCGTGGGGCAGTGAGAGGCGTGGGGCAGTGAGAGGCGTGGGGCAGTGAGAGGCGTGGGGCAGTGAGAGGCGTGGGGCAGTGAGAGGCGTGGGGCAATGAGAGGCGTGGGGCAGTGAGAGGCGTGGGGCAGTGAGAGGCGTGGGGCAGTGAGAGGCGTGGGGCAGTGAGAGGCGTGGGGCAGTGAGAGGCGTGGGGCAGTGAGAGGCGTGGGGCAGTGAGAGGCGTGGGGCAGTGAGAGGCGTGGGGCAGTGAGAGGCGTGGGGCAGTGAGAGGCGTGGGGCAGTGAGAGGCGTGGGGCAGTGAGAGGCGTGGGGCAGTGAGAGGCGTGGGGCAGTGAGAGGCGTGGGGCAGTGAGTGAGTGACATGCCGGTCGTCCCTCGCTTCCCGCTCTGCCACATGCAATCCAACTTCAGGCGCATGGGGCGCGGCAAGCCACATGCTGATGAGACACTGTCACACTGCAGTGCACGCCACATGTTTGGAGGGGCTTCTCTGCTGCAGTGCACGCCACATGTTTGGAGGGGCTTCTCTGCTGCAGTGCACGCCACATGTTTGGAGGGGCTTCTCTGCTGCAGTGCACGCCACATGTTTGAGGGGCTTCTCTGCTGCAGTGCACGCCACATGTTTGGAGGGGCTTCTCTGCTGCAGTGCACGCCACATGTTTGGAGGGGCTTCTCTGCTGCATTGCACGCCACATGTTTGGAGGGGCTTCTCTGCTGCAGTGCACGCCACATGTTTGGAGGGGCTTCTCTGCTGCATTGCACGCCACATGTTTGGAGGGGCTTCTCTGCTGCATTGCACGCCACATGTTTGGAGGGGCTTCTCTGCTGCAGTGCACGCCACATGTTTGGAGGGGCTTCTCTGCTGCAGTGCACGCCACATGTTTGGAGGGGCTTCTCTGCTGCAGTGCACGCCACATGTTTGGAGGGGCTTCTCTGCTGCAGTGCACGCCACATGTTTGGAGGGGCTTCTCTGCTGCATTGCACGCCACATGTTTGGAGGGGCTTCTCTGCTGCATTGCACGCCACATGTTTGGAGGGGCTTCTCTGCTGCAGTGCACGCCACATGTTTGGAGGGGCTTCTCTGCTGCAGTGCACGCCACATGTTTGGAGGGGCTTCTCTGCTGCAGTGCACGCCACATGTTTGGAGGGGCTTCTCTGCTGCAGTGCAGCGACACTGCATTGCATTGAACGTTGCCGCTCGTCCTCCTGCCCCCGCTCACCCCCAACCCGTTGCGCCCGCAGGTGCTGGGCGTATGGAAGGCTGCGAGCCACATGCTGAAGCACTTCAAGAAGTGGGTCAAACCGCAAAAGGTGCGCCTGGTTGGGTGGGGTGAGGTGAGGGGGCTTGAGGGGCGGAGTGGGGGCAATGGGTGGGGAGAGGGCGTGGGGAAGGCTGCGAGTCACATGCTGAAGCACTTCAAGAAGTGGGTCAAACCGCAAAAGGTGCGCCTGGTTGGGTGGGGTGAGGTGAGGGGGCTTGAGGGGCGGAGTGGGGGCAATGGGTGGGGAGAGGGCGTGGGGAAGGCTGCGAGTCACATGCTGAAGCAGTTCAAGAAGTGGGTCAAACCGCAAAAGGTGCGCCTGGTTGGGTGGGGTGAGGTGAGGGGGCTTGAGGGGCGGAGTGGGGGCAATGGGTGGGGAGAGGGCGTGGGGAAGGCTGCGAGTCACATGCTGAAGCACTTCAAGAAATGGGTGCAGCCACAAAAGGTGCGCCTGGGTGGGTAGAACTGATGGGGTGAAACCGATGGGTGAAACTGATGGGTGAAACTGATGGGGGAAACTGACGGGTGAAACTGATGGGTGAAACTGATGTGTGAAACTGATGGGGGAAACTGATGGGGGAAACTGATGGGCGAAACTGATGGGGGAAACTGATGGGTGAAACTGATGGGGGAAACTGATGGGTGAAACTGATGGGTGAAACTGATGGGGGAAACTGATGGGTGAAACTGATGGGGGAAACTGATAGGTGAAACTGATGGGTGTGAAACTGATGGGTGAAACTGATGGGTGAAACTGATGGGGGAAACTGATGGGTGAAACTGATAAGTGAAACTGATGGGTGGTAGAACTGATGGGGGAAACTGATGGGGGAAACTGATGGGGGAAACTGATGGGTGAAACTGATGGGTGGCACATAGGTAGGTCGCCTAAAAAGTCGCCTCCAAAGTCGGATATAAAGTCCCCCCCCCCCCCCCTCTCCACCAGGTAAGCACGCCCCTGTCGTTGAGGCCAGGCGAGGCCACTCAGAGGTGGTGTATGAGCCGCTGGGTGTGTTGTGAGGCGCCTCAACAAGTTGCCTCAGTAGCCTCTCCCCCTCCAACCCCCCCCTCCACGTACCACACCAGGTGGGCACGCCCCTGACGTTGAGGCCAGGCCACTCAGAGGTGGTGTACGAGCCGCTGGGCGTGGTGCTCATCATCGCGCCCTGGAACTTCCCCTTCCGTACGTCCCCTGTCCTTCACCTCTCCTTACAACTTCCCCTTCCGTACGTCCCCTGTCCTTCACCTCTCCTTACAACTTCCCCTTCCGTACGTCCCCTGTCCTTCACCTCTCCTTACAACTTCCCCTTCCGTACGTCCCCTGTCCTTCACCTCTCCTTACAACTTCCCCTTCCGTACGTCCCCTGTCCTTCACCTCTCCTTACAACTTCCCCTTCCGTACGTCCCCTGTCCTTCACCTCTCCTTACAACTTCCCTGGACCGGGCACCAAGCGTAAAGGTCATGAAACCTCACTGCTGTTCCACTGCCCGTGCTGCTCATCATCGCGCCCTGGAATTTCCCCTTCTGTACGTCCCTTCCTACCGCCTCTCCTCTTTTTTTTTTACTTTTCCTATATATCGAAATTGGTTTTCTTTCTCTCCGTTCTGTACGTGCTGGTTACTGTGCTATGTGCCTTCACAGAACAGCATTGGCATTCACATGTCCCTCCCTCCCCCCTCACCCACTGCCGTGCCGGGACTCATGAGTGGGGTGCGGGTCCTGGCAGGCAGCGGGCAGCGCGGTGGTGCTCAAGCCCTCACTCGCCTCACTCGCGGTGGTGCTCAAGCCCTCACTCGCCTCACTCGCGGTGGTGCTCAAGCCCTCACTCGCCTCACTCGCGGTGGTGCTCAAGCCCTCACTCGCCTCACTCGCGGTGGTGCTCAAGCCCTCACTCGCCTCACTCGCGGTGGTGCTCAAGCCCTCACTCGCCTCACTCGCGGTGGTGCTCAAGCCCTCACTCGCCTCACGCGCGGTGGTGCTCAAGCCCTCACTCGCCTCACTCGCGGTGGTGCTCAAGCCCTCACTCGCCTCATCCGCTCAAGTCTTTACCATCGCATATTCCTCTGCCTTCCCCCGTTCTCCACCCCCCATTTCCCCAGTGCTGTCTCTGGAGCCACTGATAGGGGCGCTAGCAGCGGGTAACGTGGTGGTGCTCTAGCCCCATTCCCTCTCTCCCTCACACCCCCCACACCACTCCCGCCCATCCCCCAGTGCTGAGTCTGGAGCCGCTGGTAGGAGCGCTGGCAGCGGGCAACGCGGTGGTGCTGAAGCCCTCAGAGCACTCCCCCGCCTCCTCGCACCTGCTCTCGCGCCTCCTGCCCCTCTACCTCGACTCGCAGGCCGTGCAGGCAGGTGCTATCCCAGGCAGGTGCTATCCCACGCAGGTGCTATCCCAGGCAGGTGCTATCCCAGGCAGGTGCTATCCCAGGCTGGTGATTTCTGAAGCACACAGAGCTCTCCTGCTCCTCCCCTCACCTCCTCTCGCGCCTCCTCCCCCTCTACCTCGACTCACAGGCCGTGCAGGCAGGTGCTATCCCTATCTGAGGCAAGTAGATGCAATCCCAGGCAGGTGCTATCCCACGCAGGTGCTATCCCAGGCAGGTGCTATCCCAGGCAGGTGCTATCCCAGGCAGGTGTGTTCTGACGTAGGTGAATTCTCAATACCCAACCGCCTCCTTGCACCTCCTCTCGTGCCTCCTTGCACCTCCTCTCGTGCCTCCTTGCACCTCCTCTCGTGCCTCCTTGCACCTCCTCTCGTGCCTCCTTGCACCTCCTCTCGTGCCTCCTTGCACCTCCTCTCGTGCCTCCTTGCACCTCCTCTCGTGCCTCCTTGCACCTCCTCTCGTGCCTCCTCCCTCTCTACCTCGACTCACAAGCCATGCAGGCGGGTGCCATTCCAAGCAGATGCTATCCCGTCTTCCCTTGTCCTGCCAACCCCCTGCCCTTCCCTCTCCCCGAGTTCCTCGTCCCCTCCTGCCTTTCCCCCTGCCTTGCAATGATCAGGCGTTGGGCCAGGCACAGGGCGCTGCTAGGGCGCCTCAGAAGGTCACCCATTCCTCTTCCCTTGCTCCTTGTGAACCCTCTGCCCTTGCCCTGCCCTTGCCCTGCCCTTGCCCTGCCCTGCCCTGCCCTGCCCTGCCCTGCCCTGCCCTGCCCTGCCCTGCCCTGCCCTGCCGTGCCTCACAATCATCAGGTGGTGGAGGGCGGGCCAGAGACAGGCAAGGCACTGCTGGGGCGGCGGTGGGATAAGATCTTTTTCACGGGCGGCACTGCGCTGGGGCGCATTGTGATGGAGGCGGCCAGTAAGCATCTGACACCTGTCACTCTGGAGCTGGGCGGCAAGAATCCACTGTTCATCGACGAGTCTGCTGACCTGGAGGTGTGTGCTGCTGACCTGGAGGTGTGTGCTGCTGACCTGGAGGTGTGTGCTGCTGACCTGGAGGTGTGTGCTGCTGACCTGGAGGTGTGTGCTGCTGACCTGGAGGTGTGTGCTGCTGACCTGGAGGTGTGTGCTGCTGACCTGGAGGTGTGTGCTGCTGACCTGGAGGTGTGTGCTGCTGACCTGGAGGTGTGTGCTGCTGACCTGGAGGTGTGTGCTGCTGACCTGGAGGTGTGTGCTGCTGACCTGGAGGTGTGTGCTGCTGACCTGGAGGTGTGCGCTGCTGTCTCGAGTGCAATGTGCATGTCCCGTCACACATGGCCCATCCCAAGACACACCCCTTTTCCTTTGCCTCCCACCCGTTCTCCGATGCCCCATACCCCATACCCCACCTTCCTGCCCCATGCCCCTTGACACGCTCTCAACCCCGTTGCACCGCTCCAGATCTCAGCGAAGCGGATCGTATCGGGCAAGTGCACGAACGCGGGGCAGGTGTGCCTCGTGCCCGACTATATCCTTGCCTCCAAGGACGTGGCTGCGAGACTGGTGCGTCTAGGGGCTGGTATAAGGAGGTAGAAAGAGGTACAGAATGGTAAGAGGAATAGAAGGAGAAGGCAGGTGTGCCTGGTGCCCGACTATATCCTCGCCACCAAGGACGTGGCTGCGAGACTGGTGCGTGGGGGAGGAGGGGCAGAGCGACGGGCACAAGGTGCATGGATAGGGTATTGGGGCAGGGGAAGGGAGAAAGCAAGGGAGGGCAGGTGTGCCTCGTGCCCGACTATATCCTGGCCACCCTGGACGTGGCTGAGAGGGGGGGGATGGGGTGAAAGGGGCAGAGTGTGGGGCGACGTGCGCGCAGGTATGGGTGCTAGGGAAGGAGGGAAGCAAAGGGTGGGCAGGTGGGCTGCGAGAATGGTGCGCACGGGTGTAGGGATAGAGCGGCAGAAGGGGTACAGATTAGGGCAGAAGCTCCAGCGATATGGACAGGGATAGGGGCAGAATGAGCAGGGATAGAGAGAAAGGAGGTTGGGACAAGGGCAAGGTAAGGGGGGAAGTAGGGAAGGGTAAATTTGCTGCTGGGCTCTAACCCACCTCTCTGTCCTCACCTGCTCCTCTCCCTGGCTCTTCTTTCCCTCTCTGCGTCCCTCTCTGTCACATCTGCAGCTGCCCCATCTCAAGGCGGCCATCGAGCAGTTCTACGGCACCAACCCCGCTCTCTGCCCTGACCTCGCCCGCATCATCAACGCCTCTCATGTGCTCCGCCTGCTGAAGCTGCTCCAGCACCCTGCTACAGCCTCCTGTGTCGTGCACGGGGGGCAGAGCGATGTTGAGTCGAGGTGAGTCAAGCAAAGTCAATGAGGGTCAACGCTGGTTACTCTTTAAGCCTGCAGAAGCTGCTCGAGCACCCTGCCACCGCCTCCTGTGTCGTGCATGGGGGGCAGAGCGACGTTGAGTCAAGGTGAGTCAAGGTGAATCGAAGCAGGTCAATGCAATTCAACGCAGCTCAATGCGGTTTCCCAGTTTCCCCTCACTCCTGCCACTAATTGTGAAGGAAACAAAAACAAAAACAGAAACAAAGATGAAAAAAAAGACAAACAAACAAACAAAGAAAGAAAAAAGCAACAAAGCCACCTTCCTATTATGCTATCCCATCCCTTCCTATTATGCTATACCATCCCTTCCTATTAGGCACCGCCTTCCAGGCCTTGGAGATCCACTTGAGCGTCAGCTATGGCGGTGGCTTGCGGATGTTGCCTGCCACACATGGAAAGATCCAGTAGTTAGAACAGGGTAAACAGTTGAAAAACAATCAGGCCTTAAATTAAATCTCACCTCTTTTGAGAAGAAACGAGGAATGAATGAACTATGAATGAATTGGGTACAAGTACTAACCCTAATTGGGTTGTACCCCTTATGGAGTACCCCACTATAGCCTACACAATATGCATGAACTATAATGTTCTGACACACCCCCATAGGCAAAGTGGGGGAGAACAAGGGGTCACAAGACCAGTCAAGCAAAGCAAAGCAAAGCAAGCTCAGGGTGGATCACAAAGTCACCACACATTCCAAGCACAAGTTCAAGGCCACAAGGCCAGTTCACAAGCAGGAGTACACATATATATAAAAAGGCTAGACAAGCAAGAGCAGGTATATATATATGTAACAGTACAAGCAAGGTCAAGAGGTGAGCAAGTGAGGCAAGGTAGGCACAAGGCCCAGCTGAGTACAGAAGCGCTGATGGTCACAAGGCGCAAGTGCCTTGGTGAAGATATCAGCAGTGTTGGCCTCAGAGGCCACGTACGCAAGACGCAGCTGACCACGCTGCTGCAGCTCACGAGCAAGAAAGTAGCGGAGAGCAATGTGCTTCGTTCTGTGCTCCAGTCGCTGCTCCCGACACAAGGCCAGCATGGCCTTGTTGTCTACGTACAGCACTGGAGGAGAACGAGGCAACTCTCCGAGGTCAGTCAGCAGGTAGGTGAGCCAGCGAAGCTCCTGTGCAGCCATGGCTCCTGCGTAGATCTCAGCCTCACAACTGGAGCCGAGAACAGAAGACGAGCGAGTAGCCCGCCACGAAACAGAGCCGGAACCAAGGCTGAAGGTGTAACCCTGTGACGACCGCTGCGTAGCCTGGTCGTCAGCCCAAGAAGCGTCTGCGTGCCCAGTAAGGACCACTGGACTCTGCCCTCCAAGCACAAGCCCCATGCCCGACGTACTGCACAAGTAGCGCAACACCCTCTTCGCTGCAGCCATGTGCTCCGGTCTGTGTCTCCCAGGAGCAACATAGCGTGCAAGAATGCTAAGAGGGTATGCAAGGTCAGGTCGTGTGCAGGTCATCAGGTACATGAGGCAGCCAACAAGCTCTGGGTACGGGCCACTCGACTCTACGGACTCATCCGAAGGCAGAGCTGAGAGCGAGTGGCGAGTAGGCAGAGGAGTGGCCTGAGGCGAGGAGTACGTGAAGCCGAAGCGCTGAAGGACCTGCTGCACCATGTGTGACTGAGTCAGGGTAATGGTGCGGCGTGCTCTGTCCCGAGTGATCTGCAAGCCAAGGTAGCTGCGCAGTTCACCCAGGTCAGTGCACGTGTGTCTCTTCTGCAGCTCGGACTTCACGTGGGCTAGTCCTGCAATGTCAGCTGTGGCAAAGACCAAGTCGTCGACGTACACGAGGATGTAGAACGGCGGCAAAGAAGTGTCGGTGCGCAGAAACAGCGACGGGTCGGCAGTAGAGGGAGCAAACCCAAGAGCCGCAAGTGTAGTCCTCAGTGTGTCGTGCCACTCACGCGGTGCTTGGCGGAGACCATAAACTGGCCGCCGTAGGCTCCACTGGGTGCCAGGAGGAAAAGACCCAGTGAAGCCAGGTGGGCGACGCAGCCAAATCTCCTCGTGCAGGCTGCCCTGCAAGAAAGCAGTGCTGAAGTCAAGAGAGTGTAGCTCGTAGTCACGGTGAGCAGCTACGTGCAGCAGTACCCGAAGAGTGGTCATCTTCGGGGTGGGAGAGAAGGTCTGAAAGTAGTCAACTCCCTGCCGCTGACTGAAGCCACGAGCCACGTAACGCGCCTTGAAGACAGGCGGAGAACCCGGCGGTCGCTTCACCCTGAAAATCCACATGCCACTGACGATGTTCGCCCCAGGAGGGGGAACAGCGTCAACGTAGGTGCCTGTGGACTTCCAGGAAGCCATCTCTGCGTCCATAGCTGCCTGCCACTGAGAGGAGTAGGGACCCTCTATCGCCTCCGCGTAAGAGCGCGGAGTCGGGATGTCAAGTGCATCCGGGTCTCCCTCAGGGGTAAGCAGTACGGACACGAGATGAGGTGAAGCAGCGGCCAAGCACTGGAACTCCTCCTGCCTGTCCTCAAGGACGTCCGTGCCAAGGGCACACTCACCCCCGACGGACGGAGGACAGACAGACTCAGACTCAGCAACAAGACTGGCGACGTAGTCTAGGCGACAGCGAGCAGCAAAGTCGACGAGCTCAGCAACTAGAGCAGACGCAGCAGTGGACTCAAAGGAAGGGTCAGTGACAACAGTAGCAAGGAGACGCGTGACAGTAGGACTGGCAGCGCGAAGAGAGTCCGACTCCGGGTCGGCAAGAGCAGGAAGAGAAGACTCAGGAGGAGAAGGCAAAGGGGCACGCAGAGGAGCAGTGGACGGACGCAGAGACATCCGGTGCGTGCCAGGGACAGGAGGAGGACGCTGACGCGAACCGCGACCACTAGTGCGAGCAGCACGGACAGGCGACGCAGGGCGAGACGCAGGCTCACGACGCTCAGCAAGACCTCCAGTAGGACCAGTGTAGGGAGACGGAGCAGGCAGTGGGGAGGCCGGCTGTAACTGTAACTGCGACGGGACAGGCTGTGGACACTCTAAGGGAGGAGGAGGACCAGTAGAAGGCGGGAGACCAAGAACCTGCTGAAGGAGCGGAACGAAGTACGGCCGAGGCCGCGCGGCGACTCCAGACACAGGAGGGACAGCACCAGCACCCCCAGTGGCAGCACCAGCGCCAGTAGCAGCTCCAGCTCCAGAACCCCCAGCAGCACCAGTAGTACCCCCAGCAGGACCGCCTCCAGGACCGACAGCAGTAGCCTCCGCGCCAACACCCGCAGCAACTCCAGCTCCAGAAGTACCCGCAGGCCCAGCAGCTCCAGTACTCCCAGTACGAGCACCTCCGGGACTCGTGGCACCAGCTCCCTCAGCAGCAACAGAACCTCCAGTACCCGCAGCACCTCCAGCTCCAGCAGCTCCAGCAGCTCGCCTCCAGCGCCGGGCAAACCACTCACGCAGCTCCTGGGGAGAGAGTGGCTCCCGGCGAGAAGGAGCACCCGGAGAACCGCCAGGCACAGCACCACCAGGCGTAGCACCCCCAGGCTCAGCACCTCCAGGCGTAGTACCCCCAGGCTCAGCACCCCCAGACGCAGCACCCCCAGGCTCAGCACCTCCAGGCGTAGTACCCCCAGGCTCAGCACCCCCAGTCGTAGTACCCCCAGACTCAGCACCCCCAGACTCAGCACCCCCAGGCTCAGCACCCCCAGGCGTAGCACCCACACGCTCAGCACCCCCAGAGTCAGCACCCCCAGGCTCAGCACCCTCAGCAGCACCAGAGTCACCAGCGACCTCGACAGGCTCAACAGCGTCTACCTGGGACACACCTGAAGGGGCAGGACCCTGAGGGGGGAGGGGGTCTACCGGGGGGGGACCTGGTACAAGGAAGAGCGGTGGCGGGGGGAGGGACGGAGTGCGGTAGGGGAAGAGGCGGTAGTAGGGGACCGACTCGTCGAACGTGACGTCCTGGGAGGACAGAACACGGCGAGAGGTGGGGTGGTAGAACTGCCACCCTGGGGCGTCAGGGGGGAAACCCAGGAAGACGCAAGGAGCAGCACGAGGGGACAGCTTGTCCGCAGACAAGTCGCGGACAAACGCCCGAGATCCCCAGACACGGAACGCAGACGCATCGCCAACCTTCCCCGTCCACAGCAAAGCTGGGGAGGTCTCCGGCATGGAGACCCTGGGCTGAAGGTTGATCTGATGCGCCGCGTACCGAACCGCAAACGGCCACAGAAAATGGGGGGCAGCCGCATGCATCATGGACGTACGGGCGACGTCCATGACCATGCCAATGCGGCGCTCGACAATCCCATTTTGCTGTGGAGAGTCCGGAAGCGTGAAGGTCTGGCGGATGCCTCGTGCACGACAGTAGGCTCGCAGAAGGCCAGAGGAGAACTCTCCGCCTCTGTCAGAGTGCAGACGCAGAACAGGAAAGTCCGAGCCGAAGCTCCGCCTGAGCTGGAGACGAGCTGCGCGGATCCAGTCGATCAACACCTCAGTGACATCACCCTTGCTGCGCAAGGGGAAGACTGTGGTGTAACGCGAGTAGTCGTCAACCACCAGCAGGAAGTAGCGCTCGTGACCCTGTCCACGGACGCGGGCCGGGCCCCACACGTCCATGTGAAGCGTCTGCAGCGGGGCCTCTGTCGGAGGAAACTGGGAGGAGTGAGGGGTAGCCCGCTGCCGTCCCTCGACACAGGGGACGCAGGTAGGGCCAGGCCCCGGAGGAAGGGGAGGGAGGGACCGGGGAAGACCAGAGACAAGGACACGGGAGGCCATGCTCCGGAGACGAAGCAGGGAGGGGTGACCAAGGCGGTGGTGCCAGAGGAGAGTCTCGTGAGACAGGAGGCGACACGAGCAGGGGGCAGACTCAGGACCAGACCTGGACGCTGCAGCAAACACCTGACCCGACGCAGCTACCTGACCAGACGCAGGGACTGGAGGAGACGCAGTGGTCAGTGTGTACAGGCTCGACCCTGGCCGACGTGTAAACGTGGCCAGGTGGCGGCCTGTCCGAGCGTCCGTGCAGTGGGTCACCCGCTGACTCGCAGGAGTGAACTGGTGAACCCCCGCATCCTGTAGGTCAGCACCACTCACCAAGTTCGTAGAGAACGAGGGGAGGTAGAGACCAGACAGGGTGCCAGAGGGGGCCGCCGGACACGGGAGGACAGTGGAGAAGTGAGCAAGGACAGGACCCCCAGAGGGGTCTGCCAGGGAGACCGCAACTGGCCGGCCAAGCGGCGTGAGTGTGGTGCGGTCTCGAAAGAAGGAGCGAGAAGCCCCCGAGTCAAGGGTGAAGGTGTGGGAGGCCGAAGCCGACGCAGAACCTGAGAGAGCAGACTCACCAGCACCTGAGGGAGCAGACGCACCTAGAGCAGCAGCCTCGCTAGCACCTAGAGCAGCAGCCTCACCAGTACCTAGAGCAGCAGTCTCAATGCCCGGGTCGGGCGGAAAACACCGGTAACAGTCACCCTCATCACTAATAGTCACAGTATACACGGCAGCAAGAATAGCATCAAAGTCAAGGTCAAAGACAGCTACACCCGCCCTAGACAGCTCACCCCAGCGGGGGATCTCAGTGGCCTCAGGGAACTGGTGACGCCAAGCGTCCGTCAGGCGGCCAAAGCAGCGCTGGGTGGAGTGCGCACCCCCGCACTGCTCACCCGCGCGGTCGCCGGTGCGCAGGACGTAGGTGCACGGACCAGCACCCCCACCCCTCTGGCGTGCAGTGTACCACTCACGGAGCTGCTGAGGGGAGGGGACGTCACGAGTGCGCTGCTGCTGCTGCTGCTGCTGGCGCTGACCACCACCGGAGCTGACCCTCTGCGCAGCGCCACCCCGACCAGCTCCACCTCCTCCGCCGCCTCCTCCTCCACCGCCGCCACCTCCGCTCCCTCCGCCACCGCCGCTGCCTCCTGCGCCTCCACTGCCGCCACCTACACCTCCACCCCCGCCACCACTCCCACCGCCACCCCCACCTCCTCCACTACCTCCACCGCCGCCTCCACCGCCCCCGCTAGCTCCTCCAGCGCCCCTGCCCCCCTTGCCCCTGCCAGGGCGGCGTCTCCCGCTAGGGGTAGACGCTGCCCCAACCGACTCCAAACCAGCGAGGTCGGCCGCAGCAGCAGAGGCAACAGAGGGCAAAAGAGGGGAGGGGGAACACCCCTCAAAGATGGGGGTGCGAGGGTCACCACGAGAGGCTCCTACAGCGACGATGCTCTTTTCTGCTGCTAGGAGGGCCTTCTCGAGGAGGTCAACGGTGAGAGTGGTGGGACAAACCGAGAGGAAGTGGTCCCTGACTACGCGAAGGGAGTCAGGGAGACGGGTGACTATGTAGTAGAGGGTGATGTACATGGGGGGGGGGTTCTTGGCGCAGAACTCAGCAGGAAGCGCAGCGCGGTAGCGAGTGTCACTAGAGCGGAGGTGCGTAATGAGGTCAGCGACTGTGGGAAAGGCAGCAAGGTCAGGGAAGAGGTACGGTAGCATGAGGCGGCTCAGTGCAGCAGTGGCAGGGGAGGAGTAGCGTGCAACTACAGCGTCGTACAAGGTCTGAGCACTCTTGTACTGGCTAAAGTGCGCACGCTCAGAGGTAGAGAGGTGGCGACGCACAGCAAGACGTGCAGCAGCATCGCGCGTGGCCCACTGTGAGCGAACGGTGGCGTCAGCATCAGCAGCGGGGGCAGGAGAGGCACCAGAAGTGAGGTCAAAGAGGGAGAGGCCGTCTGCTCTGTCGCACTGTAAGAAAAGCTGCAGGTCATCTATCCAGACGTCAAAGTCAATGGCCCGACCCTCAGCGTCAAAAGCGAGGACACTAGGGGTAGCCATGACAGCAGTAGACTAGCAGTGCAAACAGTAGGGCGAGGGCAGTGCTGTGAGAGAGGCGTTGCTCTTACCGGACAGGGCGGTTCGGGCGGCTCGGCTGCAGGGCGGCTCGGCGGCTCGGCGGCTCGGCGGCTGGGCGGCTCGGCGGCGGGGCGGCTCGGCTGCTGGGCGGCTCGGCTGCGGACAGGGCGGCTCGGCGGCTGGGCGGCTCGGCGGCTCGGCTGCTGGGCGGCTCGGCTGCTGGGCGGCTCGGCTGCTGGGCGGCTCGGCGGCTGGGCGGCTTGGCTGCTGGGCGGCTCGGCGGGGCCGCTGAGAGGGCGGCGTCCGGGGCCGCTGGGAGGAGGCGGCGGGGCCGCAAAGGTAAGTGGCGGGGCCGCGGAGGTAGGTGGCGGGGCCGCGAAGGTAGATGGCGGGGCCGCGAAGGTAGGTGGCGGGGCCGCACAGGTAGGTGGCGGGGCCGCGGAGGTAGGTGGCGGGGCCGCACAGTGAGGTGGCGGGGCCGCGAAGGTAGGTGGCGGGGCCGCACAGGTAGGTGGCGGGGCCGCGGAGGGAGGTGGCGGGGCCGCACAGTGAGGTGGCGGGGCCGCGAAGGTAGGTGGCGGGGCCGCACAGGTAGGTGGCGGGGCCGCGGAGGTAGGTGGCGGGGCCGCACAGTGAGGTGGCGGGGCCGCGAAGGTAGGTGGCGGGGCCACACAGGTAGGTGGCGGGGCCGCACAGGTAGGTGGCGGGGCCGCGACGGGCGCGACGGGCGCGACGGGCCGAAAGGGCGGCGCGACTCGGGCCGGCGCAAAACGCGCTCCGGGCAGGAAAAAAAAAATTTCGTGGTGGTGGGCCCTAGGAATCGTTCCCATTAGGGAACCTGCTCGATACCATGAGAAGAAACGAGGAATGAATGAACTATGAATGAATTGGGTACAAGTACTAACCCTAATTGGGTTGTACCCCTTATGGAGTACCCCACTATAGCCTACACAATATGCATGAACTATAATGTTCTGACATCTTTCGGTCAGGCAGTCAACATCCTCGCTCTCGAACCATTCCTGGTACAGTTGTCGCACAGCTGCTTTGAAGGAGCGGTTCACCGCGACGTCCAGGGGCTGAACCTCCGATGTGCAGCCAGCTGGTATGACGGCAGGGACGATATGCAGCTCGCCGAATTTCGCCCTCACTTGATCAGTCAGGTGCCCGCGGTAGGAGTCAAGCACCAGCAACGCCCTCCTGCTGCGCACTCCGAACCTCCACCACATCACCCCTCTCCTCCTCCACTCTGCTCACCCCACCCACCCTACCCCACTCCTCTCCCCACCCACGTAACCTTCCCGCGTTTCCCGCCCTCCACCAACCCCCCAGGTACTTAGCGCCAACGCTAGTCAACGTGACCTGGGATGCGACATATGATTCGACAGAAAGAAAACTCTTCCACCTTCCCAACTATCCCTCTCCCCCCCCCGCCCCCTGTCTCCCCCAGGTACTTTGCACCAACGCTGCTGCTCAACGTGCCCTGGGATGCCCCCATCATGCAGTCCGAGGTCTTTGGACCCATCCTGGCCATCCAAACTGTGAGACCCCTCATCCTGGCCATCCAAACTGTGAGGTCTTTGGACTCATCCTAGCCGTCTAGTCTCCCTGCCTTCCTCGTTTCCCTTCTCCCCACCTCCCACCACAAGCTGCCTTCTATACACCGTGCCTCAGGCCTCTATTCCGCTCTCACCAAGCCCCTGAGGCCCCGATGGTAGCCGCTTCCTGTCCGCCCATACTGCACCACTGCCCCTCTCTCTCCCCCCCATCAGGTGTCGGGCATCGATGAAGCAATTCACATCATCAACGCGCGCCCCAAGCCGCTGGTGGTGATGGTGTTCTGTCGTCCCATGTGCTTCCTCTGCTATCCTTTCCCGCTGTCATACCCATCAGGTGTCCGGCATTGATGAGACCATTGACATCATCAACGCGCGCCCCAAGCCGCTGGTGGTGATGGTGTTCTGTCGTCCCATGTGCTTCCTCTGCTATCCTTTCCCGCTGTCATACCCATCAGGTGTCGGGAATCGACGAGGCCATTGACATCATCAACGCGCGCCCCAAGCCGCTGGTGGTGATGGTGTTCTCGTCCCGGGAGGACACGAGGCAGCGCTTCCTCAAGGAGACCAGCTCGGGGGCTGTCGTGGCCAACGAGCTCATCCTGCAGGTGTGGTGAGGGGCGGAGAGGGACCAGTGAGTGTGTTTGTGACCCAAGGGGGTGCAGGAGTGCTTCCTCAAGGAGACCAGCTCGGGGGCTGTCGTGGCCAACGAGCTCATCCTGCAGGTGTGGTGAGGGGCGGAGAGGGACTAGTGAGTGTGTTTGTGACCCAAGGGGGTGCAGGAGTGCTTCCTCAAGGAGACCAGCTCGGGTGCTGTCGTGGCCAACGAGCTCATCCTGCAGGTGCGGTTGAGGGGGGGGAAGGGAAGGAGGAGGGAGGAGGACAGAGAGAGGAGGTCAGAGGGAGCTGTGGAGAGGGAGAGGCAGGGAGAGGCAAGAGAGTGGTGATGGCCTTCACGCCTTGAGAGGACGTGAGGCAGCGGTTCCTCCAGGAGAGCAGCTCGGGGGCTGTGGTGACCAATGAGCTCATCCTGCAGGTGCGGCGAGGGTAGAGGGGACTGAGGTAAGGGGAGGAAAGGAGAGGAGGGGAAGGGAGAGGCATGCGGTTAGTGAGTGTGTTTTGACCAGAGAGAGCAGGTCGGGTGCTCTGGTTGCCAGTGAACCCATCCTGTAGGTGTAGAAGGGGGAGGGGAGAGGGGTGGGGGGAAGGGGAAGGGGGAGCGAGGAGGGGCAGGGAGAAGAAAGGGGGTGGTAAGTCTGTCCTCAAAACGAGAGTGTAAGGGAAGCACCTGGGGCATTAAAGGAAGGTGCAGCTGGGGCATGGAATGTGGAGTGTCAATACCCACCGGGGGTGTCACCCCCTTCTCATGCTCACGACTGAATCACCTCTCCTTCTCACACCACCACCCATCTCTACCTTCTTCCCTCCCCAATCTCTCCCTTTGTCTGTCCCATATCTCTCCCTTCTTTCCACTCCGGGGCAGGCGGGCAACCTGGAGCTGCCGTTCGGGGGAGTGGGAGACAGCGGCATGGGGCGGTACAAGGGGCGCTGGTCCATCGACTGCTTCAGCCACTGCAAGGCCGCCTACACCAGGCCGCTCTCTAAAGACCTGGCAGCGCGCTTCCCTTACTACCATCTCCCCTCCCGCCCCTCCTTCCTCCTCCCCCCTCCCACCCATCTCTACCCTACCTCTTTCCGCCTCTCCCCATCACCCATCTCAGGCGGGCAACATGGAGCTACCATTCGGGGGAGTGGGGGACAGCGGCATGGGGCGGTACAAGGGGCGCTGGTCCATGGACTGCTTCAGCCACTGCAAGGCCGCCTACACCAAACCCCTCTCTAGGGACCTGGCGGCACGCTTCCCTCCCAGCACACAGCGCGGAGAGATGATTGTGAAGGCGGTGATCAAAGGGGCGTACTGGACGCTGCTGCTGCTGCTGCTGGGGCTCAAGAAGCATTAGTGCAGGGCTTGTGTCTTATTGAGACGTCGAGATGATTGTGAAGGCGGTGATCAAAGGGGCTTACTGGATGCTGCTGCTGCTTTTGGGACTTGAGAAGTGCTAGGCCTGGTGCATGGCCCGTGGGTTGTGACCGCTACAAGTACTGCGACAAAGTGCCAATGTTGGTGAAGGGCCTTTGTGAGTAGGTAGACCAGTAAGGCAACCCTTAACCAAAAGCCGGGCTCACTGGAAACTCAACAAGGCAATGTAATTATGAGTAGAAGTTACACATGTTCCGACCACTGCTAACCACTACTTTACGGAAGTACCTCGCAAAGACGTACATTGTTGTCGATGTTTGTTAAGCTGAACTCTACAAAGCTGTACAAAACCATACAAAGCTGCACACATACTTAAATGCATCAACGGGTTTTGTAGTGTTGCTTTAGAACAGTCAACACTTGAGAGGGCACCACACCATGCACACACAGGAGAAGTTATGTACTGTACGCAAGAGCCACTATGGATCCCTCTACTCTGGTCAGCCTTTGGACCATGTGAGAATGTAACCACATAGACGCATCAATGCTAGCTAGATGCTCGCACCCTCAGCTACGGTGCTCGCACCCTCAGCTGCGTTGCTCGCCCCCTCTGTTGCGTTGTTCGCAGGATATCCGCTCGAGGATATCCGCTCAAGGATATCCGCCCGAGGATGGCCGCTCGTGGATATCCGCGAGAGGATATCCGCGCGAGGATATCCCTGCAAGGATATCCGCTGCAAGGATATCTGCTCGACGATATCCGCTGCAAGGACATCTGCTCGAGGATATCTGCTCGAGGATATCCGCTCGAGGATATCGGCTGCGAGGACATCTGCTCGAGGATATCCGCGCGGATATCCGCTGCGAGGACATCTCCTCGGGGATATCACTGCAAGGATATCCGCTGCAAGGATATCTGCTCGAGAATATCCGCTGCAAGGATATCTGCTCGAGGATATCCGCTCGAGGATATCCGCTCGAGGATATCCGCTGCGAGGATATCCGCAGCGAGGACATCTCCTCGACCGGATATCCTCGCGCCGGATATCCTCGAGCGGATATCCTCGCGGTGGATATCTTCGCGCGGTTATCCTCGAGCGGATATCCTCGCAGCGGATATTCTCGAGCGGATATCCTCGAGCAGATATCCTTGCAGCGGATATCCTCGCAGCGGATATCCTCGAGCGGATATCCTCGAGCGGATATCCTCGAGCGGATATCCTCGAGTGGATATCCTCGAGAGGATATCCTTGTAGTGGATATCCTCGAGCAGATATCCTCGAGCGGATATCCTTGCGGGGATATCCTCGCGCGGATATCCTCTCGCGAATGTCCTCGAGCGGATATCTTTACAGCGGATATCCTCGAGCAGATATCCTTGAGCATATATCAATGCGGGGATATCCTCGCGCGGATATTCTCTCGCAGATATCCTCGAGGGGATATTCTCGAGCTCTCCTCGAGCGGATATCATTGCACTGATATCCTTGCTGCGGATATCCTTGTAGAAATATCCTCGCGCGAATATCCTCTCGTGGATATCCTCGCGCAGATATCCTCGCGTGAATATCCTTGCGCTGATATCTTCGCGCGGATAACCTCGAGCGGATATCCTCGCAACAGATATCCTTGCAGCGGATATCCTCGAGCGGATATCCTTGCAGCGGATATCCTCGAGCGGATATCCTCGAGCGGATATCCTCTCCATCCTCTCGCGGATATCCTCTCCCGGATATCCTCGCACGGATATCCTCGAGCGGATATCCTTGCAGCGGATATCCTCGAGCAGATATCCTCGAGCGGATATCATTCCGGGGATATCCTCGAGCGGATATCATTGCAGCGGATATCCTCGAGCAGAGGATATCCTGGTGGGCATGGCATGCCTGGTGTAGCTGTGCTGTGGTGGATGGCACTTGTCTGTCTGTGGCCCAGCAGACCATGATGGTGCCTCACCATTACGCTGTCACTACTATCCTCGTGCTCTATGGGCTGCCCAGGTGTGAATGGCATGGCAGGGCATAGCATGGCATGGCCACCATAGTGTCACCATCATCCTCATGCTGGATGGGCCGCCCAACTGTGATTGCCATGCCCGCAACAGAATACACAATGCCAATTTCTCTCTGTCTGCATCTGCCCCTCCACTTGACCCTCAAAAGCACCCCTCTGCCTGCTTCTTCTCTCCACCTGCCTTCATCCGCCCCTCTGCCCCTCCCACTCCCCATCAGAGTACTGACCGCGTCCATCCTAGCGCACGAGCTCATGCACGCATGGTTCAAGCTCGACGGTACGTATGCCCCCTCCACTGCGCATGCCATCCCCCATCGCGCATGCCATCCCCCATCGCGCATGACATCCCCCATCGCGCATTGAGAAGAAACGAGGAATGAATGAACTATGAATGAATTGGGTACAAGTACTAACCCTAATTGGGTTGTACCCCTTATGGAGTACCCCACTATAGCCTACACAATATGCATGAACTATAATGTTCTGATACACCCCCATAGGCAAAGTGGGGGAGAACAAGGGGTCACAAGACCAGTCAAGCAAAGCAAAGCAAAGCAAGCTCAGGGTGGATCACAAAGTCACCACACATTCCGAGCACAAGTTCAAGGCCACAAGGCCAGTTCACAAGCAGGAGTACACATATATATAAAAAGGCTAGACAAGCAAGAGCAGGTATATATATATGTAACAGTACAAGCAAGGTCAAGAGGTGAGCAAGTGAGGCAAGGTAGGCACAAGGCCCAGCTGAGTACAGAAGCGCTGATGGTCACAAGGCGCAAGTGCCTTGGTGAAGATATCAGCAGTGTTGGCCTCAGAGGCCACGTACGCAAGACGCAGCTGACCACGCTGCTGCAGCTCACGAGCAAGAAAGTAGCGGAGAGCAATGTGCTTCGTTCTGTGCTCCAGTCGCTGCTCCCGACACAAGGCCAGCATGGCCTTGTTGTCTACGTACAGCACTGGAGGAGAACGAGGCAACTCTCCGAGGTCAGTCAGCAGGTAGGTGAGCCAGCGAAGCTCCTATGCAGCCATGGCTCCTGCGTAGATCTCAGCCTCACAACTGGAGCCGAGAACAGAAGACGAGCGAGTAGCCCGCCACGAAACAGAGCCGGAACCAAGGCTGAAGGTGTAACCCTGTGACGACCGCTGCGTAGCCTGGTCGTCAGCCCAAGAAGCGTCTGCGTGCCCAGTAAGGACCACTGGACTCTGCCCTCCAAGCACAAGCCCCATGCCCGACGTACTGCACAAGTAGCGCAACACCCTCTTCGCTGCAGCCATGTGCTCCGGTCTGTGTCTCCCAGGAGCTACATAGCGTGCAAGAATGCTAAGAGGGTATGCAAGGTCAGGTCGTGTGCAGGTCATCAGGTACATGAGGCAGCCAACAAGCTCTGGGTACGGGCCACTCGACTCTACGGACTCATCCGAAGGCAGAGCTGAGAGCGAGTGGCGAGTAGGCAGAGGAGTGGCCTGAGGCGAGGAGTACGTGAAGCCGAAGCGCTGAAGGACCTGCTGCACCATGTGTGACTGAGTCAGGGTAATGGTGCGGCGTGCTCTGTCCCGAGTGATCTGCAAGCCAAGGTAGCTGCGCAGTTCACCCAGGTCAGTGCACGTGTGTCTCTTCTGCAGCTCGGACTTCACGTGGGCTAGTCCAGCAGTGTCAGCTGTGGCAAAGACCAAGTCGTCGACGTACACGAGGATGTAGAACGGCGGCAAAGAAGTGTCGGTGCGCAGAAACAGCGACGGGTCGGCAGTAGAGGAAGCAAACCCAAGAGCTGCAAGTGTAGTCCTCAGTGTGTCGTGCCACTCACGCGGTGCCTGGCGGAGACCGTAGACTGGCCGCCGTAGGCTCCACTGGGTGCCAGGAGGAAAAGACCCAGTGAAGCCAGGTGGGCGACGCAGCCAGATCTCCTCGTGCAGGCTGCCCTGCAAGAAAGCAGTGCTGAAGTCAAGAGAGTGTAGCTCGTAGTCACGGTGAGCAGCTACGTGCAGCAGTACCCGAAGAGTGGTCATCTTCGGGGTGGGAGAGAAGGTCTGAAAGTAGTCAACTCCCTGCCGCTGACTGAAGCCACGAGCCACGTAACGCGCCTTGAAGACAGGCGGAGAACCCGGCGGTCGCTTCACCCTGAAAATCCACATGCCACTGACGATGTTCGCCCCAGGAGGGGGAACAGCGTCAACGTAGGTGCCTGTGGACTTCCAGGAAGCCATCTCTGCGTCCATAGCTGCCTGCCACTGAGAGGAGTAGGGACCCTCTATCGCCTCCGCGTAAGAGCGCGGAGTCGGGATGTCAAGTGCATCCGGGTCTCCCTCAGGGGTAAGCAGTACGGACACGAGATGAGGTGAAGCAGCGGCCAAGCACTGGAACTCCTCCTGCCTGTCCTCAAGGACGTCCGTGCCAAGGGCACACTCACCCCCGACGGACGGAGGACAGACAGACTCAGACTCAGCAACAAGACTGGCGACGTAGTCTAGGCGACAGCGAGCAGCAAAGTCGACGAGCTCAGCAACTAGAGCAGACGCAGCAGTGGACTCAAAGGAAGGGTCAGTGACAACAGTAGCAAGGAGACGCGTGACAGTAGGACTGGCAGCGCGAAGAGAGTCCGACTCCGGGTCGGCAAGAGCAGGAAGAGAAGACTCAGGAGGAGAAGGCAAAGGGGCACGCAGAGGAGCAGTGGACGGACGCAGAGACATCCGGTGCGTGCCAGGGACAGGAGGAGGACGCTGACGCGAACCGCGACCACTAGTGCGAGCAGCACGGACAGGCGACGCAGGGCGAGACGCAGGCTCACGACGCTCAGCAAGACCTCCAGTAGGACCAGTGTAGGGAGACGGAGCAGGCAGTGGGGAGGCCGGCTGTAACTGTAACTGCGACGGGACAGGCTGTGGACACTCTAAGGGAGGAGGAGGACCAGTAGAAGGCGGGAGACCAAGAACCTGCTGAAGGAGCGGAACGAAGTACGGCCGAGGCCG